AGCATCCCCCCATGAGGAAAGCCTACCTTCCGAGAAGATTCTATCTTTTCATTTTTTCCCTACGGAGCCGTTTTGCCGGGGGGGTCCTGCAGCGTTAAACTGCACATTTTGCCAACTTCTCTTGAGCTTCGTGTTGCTCTAGCATGTTGTATCATGGCTCGAGGGGCACGAGGGGCCTTCAAACATGCTTCTCAATGCCCCCAACCACCTCGAAAAAACGGAATGCAAATCCATGATGTCTACATCAAGTTTTAGGGTTTTGAACATGCTCCCACTGTCGAATACCGTCTTACCACCTTAAATGTTGATTGCATATGCGGCCTCAACGTACTGACAAGTGAATTGACTCTATTTTGCGAGGTTTCAAGCTTTTAAGTAGATTGCTGATTTAAAATTTTACGACTGATCGACCGATCCACTGAGTCCCAAAAAATTAGCCGAAAAATGAAGACATTCTTAAGCAATCTAAGTAATAGGATCGATCGCGCATGCAAGTAGTGAGAATGCTTAACCGGCTCTGGCCGCCTCCATTCACTTGGCAAGGGTTTGAATCTGGATCGAGGTACTAATTTTGTTATCATGCAATTCTAATTATATCTAGTCCTCGATCCGCGCGACAGTCTTTGTTCACCACTGACTTATCACTCAGCGGACACAACGACATATCAAATATTTTTTTGCTAGCTACTTACTTTGGGCCAAATTAAGCCGAAAGTGAAGTTTTTCGGATCGATATATATCCCACGATCGGATCGAATCTGAACGATCCGATCCCGTGGGTCCACATGAAGGGTCAATTCAAGTTGAAAATTCAAAACTATTGTTCAAGTTGAAATTAAGGCGGTTGCCCTCAATGCGCCTCGACCATGTGCATGAATGATGTAACTGCCAGTGATATATGCAGATTGAAAACGATTGAAGTAGCACATGTGGACGTGAATGCTACAGACTGATCACCATCAGCGTTGAATGCAAATAAGCTGAGCGCTCATCGATTCACAATCAGGTGACCCCCCGGTACTAAACCGTCCGGGGCTTGTACCGTGTGCGATGACCAGCGGGACATCAATTTGCCGATATTCGGAGTCCATGCAATCGTGAGAATGCGGCACAGTCCACGAACTTAGCTCAGTCTGTTAATTTGGTTATGATATTGCCAGCGGAGGAGGAGGCCATGCGGCCTGGCCCGTGAGCAGTGCAAGTTGCGATCAGCGGCTTTACCACGGATCTCAACTGTCTACTTCATCCACCATTCGCAGCTCAACCGTCTGTGACAGTGCTGTTCGGATAACCCCAATGATCCAAGTTTCGTAGGGCTTCGCACAGTTACTACAACGATTGACATCAGACTGCTCGAGGTAACGTTTGAAGCGTTGAATGCGTTTGTTCCTCACCTAGCCTGGCTACTCATCCAATTATTCGGAAGAGGGCGGGGGCAGCCACGGTTCCAAGTCAAGAGCGCTTATTGAAAAGCTCTGACCTTACACCTTTACACTATTTACACCGATCCTTACAAGCTACGGACACGCGTTGGCGCAACCTTCCGAATACGATGAGCCAACATCAGCACATCCTCTATACAAAGTGCGACAAGTGGACCTTTTCGAGTTACGCCTATTTACAAAGAACCAAATTACAGATGGGCGAGGCACGCCTGAGAACTTCCTGTTAACTGGAGTTTTGAACTGGAACCCCAGGCCTAGGAATCGATATTAACTGCCCCACCAAAAGCAATGCGCGCGAGTACAACAGCACAACGCTACTGGAAGAACTTGAGCCTGTTCGGCAAGTAGTCGTACCATTCCGGGGGCGTGTTCCGTCCGCCCAGGTTCTTATGAGAAAGAGGGGGAAAGTCGGATTCGATGGGCTCCTGAAAATCCGAAAAGCCGAGTTGCTGAGAATAACTGCAATTCTTTCGTTTGGTACCTAGCAGATAAATTTCTTGGCACGTTCAGCGTTTCGTTTTTTCCAATACCAGAAGCACATCCAGAGGTTTGAACATCGAGCGACCGACGGCCTGCCAGTAATAGCAGTTCATTAACAAACGTCCATAGGGCCTTGTCGGACACCAGCCGGTCCATGCGCGCAATTGCAAACCCCGTGAACTGCGACTCCTGAAGTCGACAATCGCATGCAGACATTCCTTGTTGGTAAACCAGAGTTTCAGATGCTAGAAAAAAACTGAACCAGAACGAGTCTCCACGTGAGGACGGCGTAAGGACGGTGTAAGGAGCCGCTGCCTTCAAATGATTTGAACTGGCGCCTGAAACGGGCCGAAATAGTTGGGGCAGACCGTTCCAGATGCCTTACAAACTACAGAATGACGGAAAAGACTTAACCGTTCTGGAGGCAGGCAAGGCGACACAAGGGTAAAATTCTCTCACCCTTGGCTGTCGTAGCAGCCGCATGCCAGCATCAGCAACGGACATGTTGCCCTTCTTGAGGTTGCACGTTCCGCAGGCAGCAACCTGCAGAAAAACGAGAAGGTATGACATTACGGTCTGGCCCAAACTTGGCACCTTTCATGAAGGTGAGAGCGATCTCAGTTGCAGCAACTGCAGGGGGCCTTGCCCAGGTGTCTCTGTTAAGCATGCTCGGTGACGAGGCTTCTCGAAAAGCCAGCTAAAGCAAGACGTGTACTTAAAGCTGCAGGGATGTGATATAATGTTGAACTAAGATAACGCGGGCGGTGTAGCAACTTGATTCAGAGAGATGGCTTGGACGAACGCCTGAAGACTCGAATCACTGGAAGACTGTTTAAAGAAGCCAACAAAGAGCCAAGCCGAACCCAAGACGCTTCGATTACAACACAATCCATTTTCGCGTAGGACCGGGTTTCAAGACGTCCTTGCATTCACGGACATGGATCCATAGCAGCAAATGGTTTGCTTTATAATTTCGCTCCGCAGACCCACCTATGGATTCGCCTCTCTTTTAAGTAAGACATGCTTACCCGCCGGGCTGCAAAACCGTACCTCGTGCCAGTATGAACAGACTTCTCGAAGACCAAGGGGTTCCGGGCAAGCTTCTTCTGGTTGCCGTGGAAGACTTTGTGATTTTGTTGCAAAAAGAGGAACATGCTGCATAACGCGTTGTCTGGTGCCCAAAGTAGGCGGAATCCTCACCAGGTTCGTCCAGGACCAATCTCCGCCCCTCGAAGCAGCCACTACGTGATCAATTGTCAGATCATCCCGGCTGCCGCAGTACCTGCGAAATGTCACCACTCAGGTTTAAGAATCCCACGATCTACCAACTTCGTTCTGAACGATGTCAATGTCTGCAAGGAATGAAAAGGTAAGCAGCCCAAGAACAGATCCAAAACCACTCACATTTTGGAGCGTGCACAATTTACCAACTTCAATTGGAAAATTGGTCACCGTTCGCAAGAAACGAAAAGGTAAGCATTCCGAACTCGGATCCAAAACATGTGAAGACGGAACAGAGTGTCTTTGATCAGGTGTAACTACGTACCCACTCCAGTAGGTGAACCTGTCAAACAGAGATGAGCATGTGCGCACGATCAACACTTTCCCAAACCATTCAGCCATGGAACTACAGTAGAAAAGTCAATAATCTGCTGAACGCAAAAGCTGGTTGCCTGCCAACAGTCTGCCCAGCTTCAACGCTGAAAAGTCAGTCCTGCCAACGTGCGCCAAAGCTGGCTACGATGCTTGCAGGTGACGAACTTACTGGCACTTGTTCTTGTCCCTGATGAGAATGTTGGTCCGGCTCAGCATGACCCGCATCCGCTGCTTCGGCAGATTGACGTAGTTGGAAATTCGCAGCACAGCTGGCAGCGGGTACGCAGCGTAGGCCGAATGGACGTACTGGTCGTAATAGGTCAGCACGTCGGCCTACAAGGACAGATTCTGACGTTTAGCTTGGAACGCGTAATGTTTTTGGCCCTTTCTTATGCTTCTTGTCAGTAGTTCCTTTCATTGGAGGAATCCAGCCACACGGGGGGGAACTTTGCTGTTTACAACTGGAGATGAAAGGTGCCACTGCTTACAGCTGTTGCGAATCTGCGCAGAGCCTTGAAACAGTGAATCTCAGAACCGTGAAAGGGCTTCTATCATCTTCCTGAAGAAACGTCACCTTGAGTTTGATGTTTCAAGCAATATCAAGCATACCTTTGCGAGACACAAGCAGGGCCCGATGCCTGTAACGATGCGGTTCCAATTGGAAATTGGACCTCTTCTATACAGGAAAGACACTGGGGAAAGTAGAGGTGTCAAGTTGATACAGCTTCTAATGCCGGACAAAGTCTCCAAACGATGATCCAGTTATTGCTCAAGCTAACCAAAACCAGACAGCTGCACCTGTCATGTTTCCATCAGATTCAAGCAACAGACTGACAAACAAACGGTCCTATCAAAGTCTCACCTTCTGAAACAGGTCCATGCAAATGGCGCGCTTCCAGTTTATGATATCAATGGGCCTGCAGAACAACGATGCCCAGTGAAGTCAGCAACACCAAGGGACGCCCCATTTCTTTCCATACGTTTCAAGATCATATCGTCTGAATAGCAAGCGCCTTGGAAAAATGCATCAGATACCAAGACGACCTGGCAGACCCGCTTCAAGTTCATGACTCGCATATTCCAGACAAGATTAGTACTGAAGTAAGGGCACTTAGATATCTTGTCAAAACAGTGCTGCGCCCACATGGTCATCTGCTTAATTGTGCAGGCACCCTATCGTAATGCACCGAACACCGTCAATTACTATCCAAGCTCTTTCTCTATGTTGGGTAGCAAGGCAGTACTTGGTGTTAGTAATTTGAAGAACCGCACACTGGTGACATGACACAACTTACTTGTATGAAACATCGAGCACAAGACCTCTGTACGTGTCAAACTCGTCGAACTCGTGGGGCGGCGCATGAGCAATGGCTTCGGCAATGGCCTCAGCTTCTGCCTGCTGGATTGGCCCCAGGTCATAAATGCGCTTTTGTGCAGCCCTCTTCTTCCCCTTCGGAGGCTTCTGCTTCGATTTGGGAGCGTGCGTTTCTTTAGGGGGCTGCTGCTCAAGGACTGTACAGCGAGCGCTGGAAGAGCGAGGCTGGGGAGCCTGTAAAACGGAGAGCAGATGGTTCAATGCAACATCACAGCTGTGAAGAGAAAATCCACGTAAATAACAGAGGGTGATCGATGTTGTGAAGAGACTCAGCCGCGTCTTTCAAAAGCAGACTCTTAATTGACATATGAAGACGTCCCAGTGGCAGAATCCTCACAAAGGGTCCATTTTAATCAGTGCCAATACATCAACAACATTGGGTGACAACCCTGATTCCATTACTACCCTGATTCCAGTACAATCCCCTTCTGTAATCTTGAATACAATGAGGCAGCCCTTTGACTACAAAGACATTGTTCGCTTTCTATGTCAAAAAGGCTTGTGATTAGAGGCAATTCTCAAGATGGTGGCTACGATGCCAACTCGGATCTTCAGAATTATGAGGTTGTCAACATATTGTGACTTTTACATTGCTTTGAATGAAAGACAAAGTCTAGAAAGTTTCACCACTTTGACAGACCTCCAGTCTGATCAGATAACGATCATACTTTCTTTGAGAGCCTGGCTTTTGCTTAGTTGCCCTAGTTAGTGTATCGATAGTCACAGGTTGCACAGTTCCCACTCAAATGGGCGCATCAACTTGCTAACTAAATGGAAGTTGAAAACGCAAATGAAGCATTCTCCTCATGCATATCTACTGAAGTTAGAAATATTCTGGTACACAGGTTTCAAGGGGGCCTATGGAGGCAAATTCAAACAAGGCTTCAACTTCAATACGTACTCATTCAAGTGGAAGGTAAATAGGCGGACAGACCACCGAAAGATAGATAGTCAGCATGAACACGACCATAACAACAGGGAATGCAGAAGTGCAAGGCTCTGCAAGAAGTAGGGTCTAGGCAAACGCTCTCCTCTCCTGGTAGCACTTGAGGTTCTGATTCACAGATTGGATCAGACTCTAAACAGAGAAGTATGTTCATGTAGCCATAGGAGTAAAGCAGCCTGATGAGCTGGTATATGCTGTTTCAACAATGACCTTTCAGTCATTTGGAGAATCCACATTGTAAATCCTACGTCAAAGTCTTGTGATTGCAAAGTCGATAAACGTTGAACGCCGATTCGCCCAGATCTGAAACCCTGGCGTCAACAGACAACGTGAAAGTAGTTGTGAAGCTTGACAAACGGAAATTAATCAAATAGTTTCAAGCCCGTCCAGAAAAGCTAGCAGCGCAGAGTCATGCGAGCAGCTAAACTTGTCAAGCTCTAAACCTGATTGGCAGGCGCAAGAAACTCCCACTCTTACTTACATGTTGTGTGAGTGAGGTTAAAAAGAAACGCTCCCGTACGCTTTCTTCCATCTTTCCTAGCGCTCCTCCACACCGTAACGTAGTGTGCGCCAATCTCAAGCCTGTTCCGACTTCAAGCGAGTCAGGATTTCCTCCCATAACTGTGCAGCTTGCACGCAACTTGCAAGTCAGAGACCTGGCTGAGGTCATGGCAGAAAGCCCCATCCTCACTCGAGCAAGTTCTTTGAAGGCCAGATGTGCTTCGAGGAAAATGCTCTTTGTCTGCCAGCAATTTTATGCAATCTGTTTGGGGCTCTTCCAGTGGTGCAGTCTGGCGTCCTGCAACAAGGAAATTGCATGTAAAAGAGGTTCCACGCCTGTGAAGACCGGCCTCCTGACTGGCCCCGCCTCCACTCGGAGCTGTCAGGAGGGCTCTCTCACAGAAAGTATCGAAGAGCTGCCGCCCTGGCGCCCAGATTCGAAGAGGAGCTGTGAGGACTCAAGAGGCCACAGTTTCGCTGCCCCGGCCCGTCCTGAAAAGCGAGCTGCAGCTCAGCCTGGGTCCTGACTCCTGAGTCCTGAGCTACAAGGTACCTAGGACTAGCGGCCATTGCGCCAGTGCTGTGCGGTGGATCACCGTCCGGTTGTGGCGCGGATTCACACCAAAGATTCCATGAGATTCCATCTGAAGTGCTTTTCGAGCCTTTTCCGTCGTAGTGTCAAATGCAAAGACCCGCCAAAATGGTTGTACACGTCAGCAGTGGTACGTCACCAAGAGCAAGCTCATTGGCTAGCATAGATTCTCTAAGATTATCTGGAGGAAAGGATGCGCAGAAAGTGCCATGTGTTGGCTTTTCCAGGTTGTGAGGTCAGAGGTACTGCTTCAAGAATCTGCCCCAGGGCCCAGCCTCGGAAATCAGATTCGAATTACCTAGTTCATCAATTACAGCTGCATAAACGACACAGCTCATAAATGAAGCAAAATGTTTAGGTAGGTATGGTAATAAATTCGGTATCCTCTACAAGTTCGATCGCACTTGTCATAGAGCTAGCTTACCTTAGGTCCGACTTCCGTTTGAATGGTACATGACGGTTGCGCTCATACATACACGTACATCACGAAGCCATGCTTTCATCATGTTCATCACTATGTATATCAATACTTACTAGGCTGCTTAGTGAATTGCACAGTCAATGCCGGCTAGCATGCATTGTATGGTTCGCTCAAGAAGACATAATGCAGAGATGGGCGCGTTCATCTTAGCTTGCGGCCGACCCCATAAAAGTGCCAATTGATCGGAGCGGCGCCGCTCATCATGCATCATGCCAGCCTGCGGCGAATTTGGGAGTACTCCTACAATTGCTGAATATGAGTCTATCCCATCCGACTATCTCGGTGGTCCCTTTATGCAAATTATAGTTTGTGGGGAGACTGGAGGTGGCTCCCATGTGTTTTTGAAATTCTGCATAATATTGCACGACATATTATGGCACAGCTTTCTTAGTCTCTTGCCTTGGCAAGAGAATCTCAAAGACACGACACTGCACAACAAAACTCGGACGAGTCACCAGACAACGGTTCTTACAACCTTCGAGCCCGTATCCTTAAATCATCAACTCGCTTAAAAGCTTCTCGATTCCGCCATGCTGATGGAGGTGGGACGCCTTCGTGCTCAAGCACTGGAGAGAGGGAAAAAGAAGACGCCGTTGGTCTACCTGACAGACACTCAGTTTTGGGTGCAGCCAACTTTCATATCTTGATTGTGTTCAATCATTTTTGGATCTAAAGAGCTTGATGATGTTGGCGTTGGTATTGCTCTGATCCATGCCGAGCTGCGGAGTACTGAAAGTGGGAATAAGCAGAGTCTTCCTCACAGGTCTGCCGATCCATTTCAGTGACTTGCGGATCGAAAAGTCAGGGGGGCTTTTCAAAACGTACCTTTGGACCCACGCTGCAGGTCCACCACATTCAGCAACATCCGGTTGATGTGGCACGTAAAGAGGGATATTACAGCAGCGAAAGCCCCGGAAGAAGTACAGACACTATCGAGTCGAGTGGCTATCCTTCGAAAGCCTAATAGACAAGGAGCATCCATCACAAAATTACAGTAAGCACTTACTGAAGCTGGCCGCCACGCTCCCGTAAAGCGCCCCTGTCAGCAGATCCCGGTGCTCCAACCAACCGACCAGGAACCCGCCACAAAACGCGTTCCCGCAGCCAGTCGGGTCTTTCACCCGACCCGTCCTCACAGCCATCTCTGCCCCCAACCCGCTATTTGTATCAACGCTTGACCGTCCGTCCAGCTTGTCCAATTCATCCGCTAAGCTTTCACGCTTTTCGAGCGGTGGAAGCGCGCTAGCCCAAGCTGCCTGGACGGAGGCTTCGATATCGCCCCCCGACGCGCCTACGTCCGATCCGACGTCCGATTCGTCGAGGTTACCAACGCGAGACCCAACAACTGAATCCGAGCCCGCAGTGGATCGGTCGGACGCCCCTCGGTAAGTGCTCTCGAGGCCCTCGTCCGCGGTCGTGGTGGACATGTCGACAGCTGGCACGTCCCAGGTCTCTCCCGTGTCCGCCCGGTGGACCACGCAGCCTTTGTCACCCCTCCGCAGACACACGACCTGCACCGACCGCTCTCTGCTTTGGCAGTTGTTGAAGCAAAATCAACACTTTCCGTCCGCAGAAAGCAGCGCATCTATACCACACCGTTTGCTGATGGAGAGCTGTTGGGACGGAGAGCAAGACGGCTTGTAAAGGGCAGATGCTTGGAGGACGTTAGATGTTTGTAGACATTGTGTTTTACTCCGCGCTCAAACACACACGATACATTGCAGCAAACAGTCGAACCAAGATGGCATACGACCCGTCACTTGCAAAGGTTTTGCACCTACTATTCTACAACGGGCCTGGAACAAGAGCTTTACACCTCAATCACAGCCCGAAGTGGAGGCAGTCAATCGTCGTTTATCCAGAAGAAAGTCCAAAAGACGCGGACCCCGCACCTGAGCCCCCGCTTCCACAAGCCTCGCAACGACTTCGAGCGGCTCTCCTGGGCCGACGAGGGAGAACGCCTCCTTCTCGTTGGGGGAGAAGATGTGCGCTGACGTCAGCAACGCCTCTAGCTCTGCCCGGGGGACGACATCCAAAGCATGAGTGTAAGGCTCGATGCTGACCTAGGGGCATTCACAGAGATTGGTCAAGAAGGAGTACGAAGCATGCAATCAACTTCGAATGAGTACTTTTCAACCACAGGTTGTCGAATAGAGACTGAATATGACAAAGTCACAGCCTCAAGTTGACCGTCAAGCTTAAGAATCAACGCATCGAAAAGCGAACATTCCGGTTAGTGCATCCAGACACATAGCGATCCTCCTGTTAAGGCCCTCTAGGTCCCTTGCACCTGTGCGCTAACAGTCGGTAATGCATGTATTCTTGCAGAGAACGCCTTGACATGTGGAACTATTGTCTGATGACAATTAAGGTCGGAGTCTGTTAGCTTGTTCCTTAGGTGCTTCTCTCACCACTTCTGCCCCACTGTCTTTCAACTCCCGGATGAAATTAACGTCCAAACCACTGGGATGCACCCCAACGTGATAGGCTCGGGCCTTTCTGCACCAGATGTCTTGGGGTCAGTCTCCTCGGGCAAACAGTCTGGACTTACATCTGTAGCGACTGAAAACTCTTGGCAGCTTTCTAACTGTCTGCTCTGCTTTTTGTTTCGAAGTTGTATCACAATCTATGAAAGGTGATACTGATGAAGGGTGTCGAACGCCAAGATGAGATGCTCATGGACAGCTCAGATAGCCTCTGAATTGTATAGACGAGGAAGCGCTTCGAGCCAGAGAACAAAGTTGATCAACCAAGGTGGTGCCAGCATGTGTTTATTCTTAGCCGAATCTGATATTATGCATGTCCACTGCTCCCAAGACACTACTTAAACTTGGATGTGAGGACCGTTTGTGCTCACTGGTAGTTCGATGGTAGTGTTCGCAACTTCGGTCTCAACATCCCCCAGACTTCCTCTCCTACAGGAGTACGCCACACCTGTCAACAACGATGGTCAACACAGTAAGATGTAGACCACACCGATGCTGCCAAGTCTTGCCAGTCTGGAGAGCGAGTTTGCTTTACACCAAGCGTGCATTCTATTGGTTCTCATGGTGATTACCTGCCAATGTCCTGTTAGGCTTCCATTTACAAAGAATGAGCATCTTAGACTTGATTTGAGGACCCTGGCAAGTCTGTGGTACCTCGTTATTGTTGGTATCGCTGATACTGCCTAACAGATGGGAGCGCCGGCAGCTGGTTGGATTGCTTCTACTGCTGTTGATACACATACTTCATCTTGGATAATTGTATCTTGCCTGTGTTCGACGGCCGTCCGCTTCGAGGACCTGCCACGCCCTTAGAGTCTGGAAGCCGTCCCACCGCTCAAGGCCCTGGGTGTTGATTCGCATGGCGTTGAACCAATCCTGAAAAGCAACAACCAGTTGACTTCAAGAGAGTAAAAGGTTCTTTTCAAGGGATTCGGACGCCATGTTTTCGAAGATACCTCCTACTTACCACCAAGAAATGGAGAAAGGGCTTCCAGAGACGCTCTGTCAGGGCCCCCCTGGCCTCACTGCCTTCGTTCACCAGGTATAAAAAGGAAGAGCTGTATTTTGCGCTCCTGGGAAGAGAAAGCTCTTAAGCGAATGTGCACCAGGTGAAGGAAGCCGCATTTACAAGCCCATGCTGATACTTGTGAAGCTAGCCACGCAGCACAGCACGACACTTTGCGGTTAAAAGAGGGAAACAGTATCCGCAAGAGACAGCTTACTCGAAACTTCTGCATTGGAACCCGTTCAGCGAAATGACAATCCGGCAGCACCACCACCACCAATTTCCAAGTGATATTAAGTGTCACCTAAGTGATCATGAAATCTCCGTTAACCAGAAAGTCTTCGTTTATTGTCTGCGGAAGCCAACAACGACATACCTTGCATGCTTGGGGAAGATCCTCGCCAACTCCAGCAGCGAGCCCAACCTCCGACGCTTGGTTGGTCCACATTCGGATTGCAAATGCAGTCTGGGGTCCTCCACCACCCAGACAGGCCATCGCAGTGTGGCCATCGGGCCAGACAATGTCATCTACGATCAGGGTGAACGTCACATAGTCCATGTGGGGAGCCCAGCCCAAATTAGGGTTAATCAAATTCTCCTGTCATGCAGGCACTTTGTCACAAACTTAAAGATTCTAGGATTTTGCGGCTGCCAAGAGCATCTTCCTCTGCAGCCTTGAAACCGTGTGGCGCAGCCATCTGCTGACGCAATGCGTTCCTGTTGAATACCTAATACCGTAAGTGAAGGCTCAAGACCTTCCACTGTTCCAGGTGAGGAAGCACTATTCCTTCTTTAAGTTTAAGTTTGAGCTGGCTCAGGCGCTCGACCTTGGATTGACACCATATTCAAGATTGAATAGGCGTCCGAGAGACTGTGCTACTCCTGTGTGTCAAAATCAGGGTTTGGTACACTACGGTTGCCGTTGATCAATCATCAAACCACCACGCGCTTTCTCCTGCCGTGTTTCGATTTCGGAAGCGTCTTTCCGCCAGAATAACGGACTCGTCGAATCAAGCTGACGTGGTGACAGTTGGCCAGCAGGCCTTGCGCTGCTGTGAGGTGGGCTTCTTGGCTCTGCAGCGGCAATTTCATATGGCGCATTGCAGCTGCTGACTTCAGTCTTCGCTTCATGAGATGGATTGCTAGAGCTTGCCAACTCAGTCCTGAACTCGATGCTTTGATTAGGGCGCTCATCCCGTCAAGGGAAGCTTCCCCCTCCACCTCCCTTCCTGTCCTTTGTCTTACCCCCCCTCCTTCTTTCCTCAAACCAAATAGCTGCAGCAATGGGGCTCCCACACGTCGCTCAGCTGGCGATCCGCGCTGCGGGAGCAGCAAGGCAGGCGCCAAAGGTCCTTGCTGGTGGCAATTTGAACTTTGTAAGACAAGCCTCAGCAGCAGCCATTGAGCAAGCTGCAAACGCTGGTAAGCGGTGTGGTCATTTACATGGAGATGATTGCAGACGCCTGCGCTGAAGATTAATGAGCTTGCTGCGTCTTTTGAGCTGCAGACCTTCTGGAGCATGTTTGATTTGGATTTTAGGGTCAAGCTGGAATCGTGAATTGAGCTGCTTTCATTGTCGCAACTGCTAGGGGCCACCATGTTGCCAGCCAAAGTTGTTGTTTATACAATTGGTCCTGCAGTCAATCGATGTCATGCAAAGCGTGATATAGATGTCCTGAAAATATTCTTCGCCCTTGACACCAGTATGTAACCAAAATCAACCCTTAGCTTGTTCAACGTTAAAGTCCAGCTGTCATCCCTCTGTAAGCTAACCTCATGAGCACACTCTTCCAATCCAGGGGACCCGAATTTCTTGGAGTCGGTCGATATGTTCTTTGAGAAGGCTGGAGCTCTTGCAAGTCCTTCGTCCGATGTGTTGGCAGAGATCAAGGTGAGATCCACCACCGCTAGCTGCCCATGAATACTCCTCATCTCTTAGTCACCTTGTCAAATTTATCCATCTTTTGAGAAGGGAAGGCTGGAAAATATGCTAGCACACTCTCTGGCCTTGTCAAGACAATCTGAGCAATTGCGAAAAAGAGTATCCTTTGCTGAAATTGACACAGCTCAGCGTTGCTGAGACCTGCAATCAGTGGTTACATCAGTACGACAGTGATAATGAAACCCGTCATTGTTGTTGCAGGCTTGCAATAACATTCTTAAAGTTCAGTTCCCTTTGAAGCTGTCAAATGGGCGCGTCGAGCTGGTTGAGGCTTACAGAGCACAGCACTCTCACCATCGTACTCCAGGTGAGTTTATGGTCATAACGTTGAGCTGAGGAATCGCAATCGTTTCTTCGCGTATTCTGTCTTTTGGAAGAGTGTTTCATCTTGACTCAGCTGTTGAAGAACTGGAAGTTGGCCTTGAGGAAACAAAACGGGCTCTACGAGCAGATTCAAGTCAAGCAAGTCAAGGCTTAGCACGTCCATTGGCTTAATGGTCCTTCTGATACAGCCACTGATCATGCCCCAACTAGAAGGGCAAGGAACCAGAACTCTTGCGTAATCTGCTTATGCCTTGGCGCCACCTCATCCAGCGTAGTCCTTGCATGTCGTTCACGTAATTACAAAGTACCACAATCTTGAGAGCCGTTCACCGCCAGAGCGTGTACATCAACCTACTTTTTGTTCTGCAGTCAAAGGGGGCGTGCGGATGGCTCCCGCTGTGGATGCGGAAGAGACGATGGCGCTGGCAGCTCTGATGACCTTCAAGTGCGCCCTGGTCGATGTTCCCTTCGGGGGCGCCAAGGGGGGTATCAAGATCGGTGAGTGCAGCTTACATAGCTGGCACAACGGATCCTTCATTCGGAGACTCCTGCGTCAACCATGTTATGAAAAGATCCGATGATTGGGTCGAAGGAGAAAACTATGAGGGGAAATGTCCTTGATGCCAAACATCCATGGAAGAATCATTGCAAAGGTTTGTTCTTACCATGGCGCTTGCATTTGCTCGTTTGCCGTCGACAAGCTCGTAGGGAAGGTCCTGGCATGTATGAACTAGTCTCGTCTGTGGTTAGTATCTGTGGTCACTATCTCAATGGGGAAACTTGGATAAATTATCCCGTTTGCTGTGTGCCAGATCCCAAGAAGTACACAATCTACGAGAAGGAGGCCATCATCCGAAGGTACACTGCCGAGCTGGTCAAGAAGAACTTCATTGGCCCCGCCCTTGTAAGCATACCCAACTGACAGGAACCCCATCGTCGTGTCGAAGTTTCTTGCTTCTTTGTCGCTGTGTCGGCCTCGGCAAGCTTCTAAGCTGAGCCGGCCGTTTGTTGGCTATGGTATCATCGTTGTCTGCTCCCTGGTGGAACGAGCTGACGTCATGGTGTTCAACGAACATGGAGGTTTGGTGAATTCCACAAGTAAATTGTCGTATGAACACCTTTGCAGGATGTTCCTGCTCCAGACTACGGCACAGGGCCCCAAGAAATGGCATGGATTAAGGTAAGAAAGCTGGCCGCATCAATCTTGATGTAGTCTCGCAGCAATATAAATTATTTCTTTTCCCTAATGGATGTTGAAGTTTTCCATCATGAGGAGTTGCCTTTTCGGAACAGGGACACTCTTAACAATGAAGCAGCCTCTCACGTCTTCGCTTGTGTCTTCTTTTGCAGGACACATATCAGGGCTTGAGACCCAATGACATCAACGGCCATGCCTGTGTGACTGGCAAGCCGCTAGAAGAGGTAAGGTGCCGGTCAGGGGGCGGCTGGAGGTGTAGCCTTTCTATGGCGCGTCTCCACGACGAGTCAGTTCCGTGTGACTTTTGAGGGGCTTCTTTAGGCCGCGTCTCTTATTCTACGGGATTGCGTGCATTCCAGAGTTGAAGTGATAAAAAGCCTTTCAACTTTTCTGCTCTTGTCGTCTCAACACTTCACCTTGCCTGGGCTCAGATTCAATACATCGTCTGCTTTGTTTTGCAGGGAGGAATCCGTGGAAGGCCGCAGGCCACGGGACTTGGCGTGTTCTATGGGCTCAGGGAGTTCTTGAATTATAAGGTAAGAGAGATTCAACTTACTGCATCATCGACCTGTTAAAACGTGTGGCTCTTACCTGAGCGAACACGGGTTCGCGTACGACTTGGAGATGAGCATCGAGCGGTTTATTGGTTGATGGGGCCCTTGGTGTGGGGCCCGGCGTGGATTGTTCGCTTGAAAGAGGAGAGCAGCTTACGGAGTGTTTCGCAGATTGCGTTTTGAGTATGCGCAAGGTCTTGCCGACAGATATCGGTATCGTATGCGAAGCAATCCTATGTGAGGTTGCTTTCGGTGTTCGAGCCAAACGGTGAACAAGACTCGGATCGTTATCAACGGCTCTCGATTAGTATCCCCAGGATCTGGCCAATCGGCTGGGCTTCACCCAGGGCATGAAGGAGTGCTTGGAAAACGAAAAGATCCGTCAACCAATTACTGCCTGAACGACGTACAAACAGATTCACAAAAGAAATTTCGCAAAAGTTTTTACGAAGGATACTCTCTCCAACTGGTCGCCCCCGTTTCATCCGGCTCTGATCGACCCCGGGCGTAAGATGGTTTGAGATTCAATTCTCATCTAATGACCGATGCATGAAGGATTTGTTAACCGCCATCTAAAATAGACGGTTCTAAACAATCGGCCCTCTTTCGACTCCGCAGGATCTGACCGACCGGCTGGGCCTGGCCCCGGGCATGAAGGACAAGACGATGATCATCCAGGGCTTTGGCAACGTGGGCCGGCACACCGCGGAGTTCGTGCACAAGGCGGGGGCCAAGGTGATCGCGCTCGCGGAGCACGACGGGGGGCTCATCGACGAGAACGGGCTGGACATCGACGCGCTGAAAGCGTACCATCAAAAGCACGGCACCATCACCGGCTTCCCGGGCGCCAAGACGGTAAGGAACTTTGGGGTTTGGAGTTTAGGGTTATCGGATTGGAGAGGTTTAGGGTTTGGAGGTTTTGCAGGAGAGTCAACCGTAGTCTGACCTTGGCGCGCTGAAAGCGTACCATAAAAAGCACGGCACCATCACCGGCTTCCCGGGCGCCAAGACGGTAAGGAACTTTGGGGTTTGGGGTTTAGGTTTATTGGGAGTGAAGAGGTTTAGGCTTTAAAGGTTGTGCCGGCGAAGCGACCGTAGTCTGACGTTGGTGCACTGAAAGCGTCCCATGAAAAGCATGGCAACATCATCCGTTTCCCGGGCGTGAAGACGGTGAAGAGCTTAGATCTTTCCGGGTTTGGGCTTTGAGGACTTTGAGGAGCTTTGTAGCTTTGGACGATCACGGGCTGAAAGCGTACCAACAAAAGCACGGCAGCATAACCGGCATTCCAGGCGCCACGAACTGAAGGTCCTTTCGGGTTTCGGTATTAAGATTAGGAAGGTTGTAAGGTGTAAGGTGTCTTGATTTCGGAGGAGGATCACCCGTTCGCTTTGGCATGCGTGCGCTACCAGCATATACCAGAAGCGTTGCACCATCATCGGCGTCTTGGTGCTGATAATGCGGGTTGATGGGGAGTTGGTGATGATTGGTTTTCAGGTGTTGGCGGCGTTCAGTGATGGGGGCCCGACCCACTGCTTCGATGCCCTAGAGTTCGAATTTTCAAGTTGAGCCGTAAGTCTGAACCTTCGACTTTCTCTTGCCACCAGGTGAAGGACCCGTACTCGATCCTGGAGCTGCCGTGCGACGTGCTGATCCCCGCCGCGCTCGAGTCCCAGATCCACTCGGGCAACGCCGCGCGCATCCAGGCCAAGCTGGTCGCGGAAGCCGCCAACGGCCCCGTCACGCCGCCCGCGGAAGACATCCTCGAGGCCAAGGGCACGGTCATCCTTCCCGACCTGCTTATGAACGCGGTGAGTGAGAAGCACGGCTTTTTGGGATTCAGGTATTCAACAGTAACGAAAGCAGGTTTTGGTGCACGCACGTGTCGTCTGCAAAATTGGCCTCGGATTGTCGCTTGTAGAAACGAAAGGGGATGAGAAGTGGATCGCACTCGGTTAGTGCGCGCAAGAAGCGCTACAGGCTGTGCGTCAGGAGCTGTGCGGGCATTATCTGGTGTACGTGTGTTGATGCCTCCTTTCTTTCCGAATCTGCTGTCTTCGAAACGCCGACATTGAATCAATGAAGGTTCTTCTGAGGCTCAAAGGTGAGCTCGTTCAACACGTGTGACGTTAAATGCACCAGCCAACTTCTGAAGCAGCTCTGTCGGCACAACTTCGGCTCGGGGTTGGACCTACGTCGTCTTGGGGCGGAAAAAATCTCGGTGCTTGGTTTCTGCGTCTGCTTCTTTCGCCACCCGAATAAACTCTCGATTCCGGCCTGCAAAGTATGGCGGAGGACGGCGACGGTATCTTTATTTCTAAAGGGTTTTCTTTCAGGCACCTGAGCCAAACCTGGAAAAATGCCCATCCTCCGCAATGGAGAAACCTGAAGGATGGCAAATCGGACTCTGAGGCGTGTCCCTTCTCTGCGCAGGGCGGTGTGACCGTTTCCTACTTCGAGTGGTTGAAGAACCTGAACCACGTGCGCTTCGGCCGCATGAGCCGGCGCATGGAGGAGCACTCGAAGCAGGTGCTGGTGACCGCCATCGAGTCCGAGTTCGGCAACGGCAAGAAGCTGAGCGACATGACCCGCAAGCTCATCACTAAGGGGTGAGCAGCGACATTCTAGTTGATTTTCCGGGACAGTTTCCCGAGACTCTTAAGGTCGGCATGGCAAGCTTTTGTGTTTTGCTGGAGAATTGTGAAGGGTTGGCAACGGCAAGAAGCTGAGCGACATGACCCGAAAGTTTATCACCAAGGGGTGAGCAGCGACCAATCTACTTCTGGTTTTCCGGGACTGTTTCTGACTTCCTTGAGGTCGGCACGGCAAGCTCTTTGTGTCCTTTTCGAACGCTTTGTGACTTTGTTGAGGTCGGCAACGGCAAGAAGCTGAGCGACATGACCCGGAAGCTCCTGTCCAAGGGGTGAGCATCTATCATTTTTCCCTGGACATTTAGCTTTTGTTTCACTCGATATTCGCGAAGACTCGGCGAAACGCCTTTTTTCAGCGTGAGCGCCTTGACTTTTGTAAGGCGGCAAGTGGCAAGAAGCTGAGCGACATGACCCGGAAGCTCATCACCAAGGGGTGAGCAGCGACCATTCTAGTTTTTGTGTTTTGGGACAGTTCTCGACTATCCTAAGGTCGGCACGGCGATACTTTTTGAACATTTTATGACTTTGTTGAGGTCGGCAACAGCAACACGCTGAGCGGCACGGCGAAAGCTCATCGCAAAGGGGTGAGCAGCAACCACATCTTAGTTTTGTAAGTTGGAGGCCGACTCTTCTGAAGTCGGCACGGCGAGAAGCTGAGCGACCTGATGAGACTGGTCATGATTAAGGGGTGAGCAGCTGTCGTTGTTCTGGTTGGAAAAGATCGCGAGTCTTCTGAGGTCGGCAACGAGGGGCAAGAAGCGGAGTCCGTTAACGAGACAGCTCATAAAACAAAGGGTAAGCAGGTAACCTTTTCTGGCTCCAACCTGTGCGATCCGGTTCAGCAGAGCAGCATCGCAACTGAAGAAATGTTGGCTGCAAGGAAGAAGCGAAACGTCCTGACGTTGAGCACAGGATAAGATGATGAACATCAACTAAAGCAAGGTTGCAAAAGGGCAGAAATAGTCAAGAACCTGAGCGAGCGACAAAGGGCAGGTAGTGCTGTCAGCTCTGAGACAAATGTGGAAAAGGCACGCTGTAGTCAGAAAGATAAGGATACACTCGGCGCCCGGATTTTCATTGCAGCAGGTGTCATGAGGGGCTGAGACGTGTTCGGCTTCTGTATCACTTCGGGGGTCTGGTCCCCGTACACTAGTATTGAAGTCGCCCTCAATAACCAAGTTCGCCCATGTCCAACCTCGCAGTTCCGATGCTTGCATCTATGTCGTCAATTAGATTCCAATATACGGCTGCCAAAAAGGACAGCGTTGTCTGGATCTTCTGAACGTGTCGTGTGACTGAAAATTTCACTCAACCTTGGCAGCACTATCCATGTTGAAGAGTGGCGGCGACATCGTTAGCAGAGAATCTGAAGCAGAGCTCGACGATGTACCGATTATTGTGGTCGGAAATACTTTGGAAAGACAGTCAGAAGCAAGTGAATTGGACAGTATGAGGACTGCCACTGATCTAGCTCGTGTTGATCTTATGATGCAGAGGCACGGAGGAGGACTTTGTGTTCTCCGGCCTCGAAGAGACCATGGTCATCGCTGTGGAAGACGTCATCAAGATGGCGAAGGCCAAGGTGAGGCCTCTTCTGCAGCGTCGGAATGCAACGAAGCGGAATGCAATGAAGCGGAAAACGACTAGTTCTCCGCTTCTCATTCAGGCCGGCAGAACCCGGATGGCCTGATCATGTTCATCTCCCCTTTCTTTTGACATCTGAGAGCGACATTCAGCGAATGTGGCGCACTGCTTTTGTGATGTTCTCATATCTGTTCCCATTTGTCCTTGGTTTTTGGACCCGGTGAAAGTCCGTCTGCTTTTGAGAATCTTGACTCCCATTGTTTGCCGTCTATAGCAGATACGCCAATGATTGCTTACTGACCTAACGCGCGTGTTTTCTCTCTCTTGTCGAACAGAATTGCAGCTTCAGAACCGCAGCCTACCTGATCTCGATAGAGAAGATCTCCACGTCATACCGTATCTCTGGCATCTTCCCATGAGCATTTAAGTTACTAGCCCACCACCAGCATTTGCCAAGCTTTGCAAAACTTCAAAAAGCTACGTGACCAGATTTTAAAATGCTCAATTCGATCGAGCTGATCTGGAGCTCGAGAGAGTACTTTATTTTTGTGTGTTCGATTAACGGCTCAGGAAGTCTAGCTGACTTTCAGCGCGAGACCCGTAATTGAGAGAACTTTGAGTGAGAAGAGCGAGATGCCCTAATCGTGTCCAATCTTAGATGGTTGGATCACCGGCAAAAGTGATTGGAGGTCCCATGAGGCAATTTGGCAGCAGCACAAAGAGAAGGTATTCAAATAGTAAAAACAAACATATTTTCCGGAAAAGGATGTTTCCGTTCTCGTCACAGCAAATCGCCCACTACTAGACCAACCAGGATGGCAAGTTTCAATTTGTCGATTTTGAGATCGTTGAATGCTCTCAATCGCATTCCTGGCATGCCCACTACTGTGACTATCTCTTAACATGCTATGGTCGCCTGGCCGCTTCCCGGCCGCGTCCGGCGACTGCCGCCCCTCTATCCCTCTACAAATTGATAGCTAGCTTTGCGCACATGCACAGCATGACCTCAAAAGTGCAGCATGAGCTTTTAAGATGGTCCGATTGACACACTGACACTTCCGCGAGCTGGGCCCAACGTCCGGGCAACCGGGGAGAGGATGTTTTGAAAGTGGAGGTGAGCATATTTGTGCTTGGGAGTAGTAGTAATAGGGACTAGGAGTCGGCACTGAACAACTGAGCCAGGAAATTTGAAGCAGCTTGTGGTCACCTTCTGTGCATCTGGGGTGTAGTTCAAGGAATTATACTGCACTCCTCCAAAGGTCTCATTACTTAGAGAAGACAGGACGAAAGTAGACAAATTGACAGCAAACTTCTGTCAGGAGTGCCAACGTCTATCAATTTTTGTCCATCTTACTTGACCTTCTTTAAAAAGACAAGGCCCCATCTCAATGCGCTGATACTTCTCGTGTGCTTGACGAGCTTAGCTCTTAAACTGAAACACAACTTCACTTATGGGGTGATCCACCAACTCAGCAAGTGCAATGCGGTCCGTCTGCCAATGGCGCCCTTGTTGCGCTAGCAAGTGCAACAACTTCAAGTGGCCCAAGTGGCCCATACCTTCCGGGTAGTGCCAGTGCAGCGGAACTTGCGTTACAGCCCACCCCCTGCGCGGCTGTGAGGTGAACCGGCTTTCCTAAAGCGGAACTTGGCCGTAACGCTCTAGAAAAAGTATCTTCAGGAGAGTTCCTGCCAGAAACGTATTAGGGTTTGGGAAAAAGATTCCCTGAAAAAGATTCCAGATTACAGTTTCTGAAATTCTGAGTCGTTCCCGCATGCCACACTCCGCGCGAGTCTGCACCGAGGGATCCCCGCAAATTCTAGGGTTGGCTACAGCCCAAAACTTAAAGGTACGCGCTCTAAGAGCAAGGACAGCGCAAAGTGTTCATGCAGATCCACAAATGCCATGCTTGGGCCTGCATGATGACGACCAGAGGCGCGCCCTTGCAGCTGTTAAGAGGAGTAGCCTGTGGAGACTGCAATGCTGAGCACCAGAAGGTTCTCCGCTGTTCAGGCTGTTCTGCTTTCTCTGGTTGAAGCTGCTTCATGGAGCCTCTCCCGGCAGTTTATCGACCAAGATTTGACCCTTTCTCAATGGTGCTGTAGCTTCAACAGTTGAGTCGGCAGAATCTCTTCCCAGAACCACCTTTTGCAGCAGGGGCCGCTCCGGGTCGCTGAAGCCCGCAAGAAAGATGACTGCTTCATAAGAGAGTCCCTGAAAGTTGGCGCCTTCGCAATCAATGGGATCGAGGTGCACATGTTAGTAATCTATCATTGACCAGGGTGTCCGCAATCTGCAACTTTCAAGCTTGAGAGCTGTTGACGTGAAGCTGATCTTCAGTGTCTGCTGGCTGTTCTGCTCTTACAAGGGGCCCATTGGAACCCTGTTCTGCTGCCAAGAACCTATTCTCATCAGGTGGGTAGGCCAGCTTACAGGTGGGCATCGCACCTTCAAAAATCTTCTTCACAGATGGTATCTCTTGACCCCAAAAATCGAAAACAAAAAGGCTGAAGTCTCCCATCTACTTGCGATGGCTGTTCGGACCGACGGCTGTTCTGACCTGTGAAGAACAAGCAAGGTTAAAGGCAAAGCCTGCTTTTTCCAAAGAAGATCCAAGAATCCCTCATGCATAGTCACCTGTTCGGGGCAGTAGAAATTATGTAAGGTTGATTACAGTGACAAAGAGATCAATTCTTTTCTGGAACTCTATTGCCTTGCTTAGTATCTCAACATTCATGTTTTTGCTGGATAGAGCTATGTTCAATTAGGAGGCCAATGGTGACCATGTTGGCAAGGGGCGAGCTTGGAGTTTGCCTGCAAAGGTTGGGCGCAGTGTCTGATTCTGCACACTCAAATCAAATCTGCGAGAAGCAAAAAATCAAAGTCACTCTTGGTGCCAACAGGACAAGCGACCAATATAACCGAAGCCTGCTTGAACACTGTTACTCACTTTGAGTGAACAGCTTGGCCACCCAGGAGAGTTTGAAAATCCTCCTGCATCATGCCACAAGCGTCTCAATCTGGTTCTTGCAGGCAGGCCACTTCTTCAACATGGCCAGAGTTGCAGTTGTCATTGTGGATGCTTCTAAAAAGGATTCAGATGGGAAGGCAATGGGATTCATCCTACGCGAATTGACGAGACAGAAGGAGCATTTCGACGAGGTGCACATGCATGCACGTGTCGTAGTCAAGCGCGAAGCTCTGCGAAAGAAGAGTAAGCAGATAATTTCCTGCAGTTTCGAGACCACTTGCAACCAGGCCTTCAGATGCACCTTGTTTGATGATTGACGCGGAGCTTGGATTAGCAAAAGGGTTTTGCAGCGTGTAAGAAGGCTGTAATTGCTGTCAAGCCATTTTTTTTATCAATTGGGTCATTCGTTGGTAACAATGTCATGTAGTTTTGAGCAATGGACCAAAAGGTTGCAGTAGCTTTTGTGTCCTGGAGTTTCCGTTTGTTAAAAGCTACCAAGTAGCTTTGCAACCAAACACTTCACAAGATTCAAGCTATCAAAACATGCTCAAGTTTTTCCAGGAAAGAGAAGTGTCCTCGTTAGTTCGCTTTCTTGGAGTTGGTGTGTTCTGGTAAATTGAGAGCTCAATCTGCACTTTCGCAGGTGAAGCAGAAGTCCAACGTATCATCGCAGAGGAAGAGGGACGTGCGATGGCTCTTTTGCAGGTTTGCTTCGAAAAGGATGGGGTAAGAAAGGCAAGAGTATTCCATTCGAAGATTTGTATTTTTGCTTCCGGCATGAGAAAGCGCCTCCAGTGGAGAATCTGTCCCAAAGAGTGATTGAGTTGCATAGCAAGTTCCTTTGGATGTCTTTGCGGACATGGTACTGGATAAGTCCTATTGGTGAAGTTTTGTTATATCAAATAGTGTGGACCCTCCTACAATCGTGTTCAAGCTACGGTTCCTTTGGATAATTACATATGCAAAAGAAAGGTCTATCCATGATCCATGTCCCAGCATGGTCTCAGGTTGCTGTTTTGTTGCAGACTGGTTCACGTTGCGTAAACTTCAGGTCTTGAAGTTGAAACCACGTTGACCGCCTTGTGAATTTGGGCTGGAGCAGAGACATTGTACGACATGTAAATGAAGGGTTGAGTGGCAGTGCTGGCCAATACATGTTATACATGCAGCAATTTTCCTTTTCCTTTTCGAGCTGTGACCTGTCCGTTTGATATGCACTGCGTCACCCTCTGGGCTCTGTGCTTCCGCATTTGCTACAAGGCAGAACGTTTTATCACACTCTGGATTTATATGGTCATGTGGCCTTTTGGGTCTCAGTCGACTGCTCGCTTTATTGTCCTATCAAGCTTGTCCTTTCTTGACCTGACCCTACCTGTAACGTTTGGATGCAGGGAATTGTCAATAAAGTTACGTATGACGCCACACTTTGCGAGGAGGGCCAGCTAGAGGACTACATCATTGAGGTCGTGCAGAGGAAGGGGGTGGCAATCGACGTCCTTGTGCTTGGCTTCAAATTTGAGGACTCCAATAGGACCAGGTTCTTGAGCAGGTGGATCTCTGTCTAACTGAACAAACTTGCCTCGAGTCTATATCAAGGCTCTCCGTTTAGTCTTCTGGTGAGGTTGAAAGCTCGATTCTGCGCCTCTTTACATGCCCTTCTCTGTCTTTTGTAGGCGGACGAAGCAGTCAAAAATGCCATGCTCCCAAAGCAATACAATGCCTTCTGGTTGATTTTCAACCGCCATTCCAAAACAGTAGCAACCACAATGGAACTGAGAGGGGAACATGAGTAGACGATTGGCCTGCTACGTTTCCCCATGACACCTTTCTTGGCTCGAGCTTGCATCCTGGAATCCCTTCAACATTCCGACTCAGGTGCCACAATGCTCTTGAGAATCGGCAGCACTTTCCAAACTTGTGGAGTTCCCTTGTAACGTGTTTGACCTTCTCTAACCAGCTGCGCTCGTCGTTAGTAGCCGTGATCCATAATCCTTCTCATAACTTGTCTCCGTGCTTGCAGCTTGCATGCTGTTCCAGGTGCCGCGATTGGCCCAGGCAAAAAGGCCGAAACTATGCTGGAGCGCCTCTCAGAAGACGCGCAGTGCTCAGTGTTCCACGTCTACAAGGATGGTCCCAAACTCAAACGGGTCATGTACACTGGCCCAAGGCGGACCCTTTCAGAGGTGCCTTCAGAGGGGGAGATTGTAGACCCCCGTGAAGCGTGAGTCGATCATCTCACCACTGCAATACCAATTTCCTCCATTTTCAGATGCTATTCATGAGAAGGCGTAGTCAGGATGCACTACGCCTTCTCATAGTAGTGCTTCAAACATGTTTCTTTCAGACATGTTGCTTCAAACATGCTTCATGGTGTTTGAAGCAAGCTAACGAAGTACTGCATGACATAAACGGCGCTGCACAGACGCACTTTGATAGCCCGTCTCTTTTTTGTTCTGCAAACTTCGTCTCTTTCAGTTTCCGACTCTTCAACTCAATGTGAAAGCTTCTGACGGTGCCTGAAGCCTGTTACGCTTCGTGCAGAGAAGGACTTTGATAGATTCACGCTAGCAAGATCGAAGATACTGTTGGAGGCAATGCAAAAGCAAAGCCACGGGCCCCTACGTATACGTGACATCTCCTCTGCAAAGGCCCCTCTTTGTACTCGATTTCTAAAAATGATGTTTTCCTTGCAAGAGCTCGCCTCTGATCCTGAAAACTCGCAAAGTGCCTCCCCTTGTTTGCAGGACAAAGCGCGCAGAATTGACCATCTTCACAACTCTTTGCAGCGTGCAAGCACGTAAAAGCTTTCCTTGATCCGGAAAGGATCAGCGAAACGCCTTTCATCTCAATCCCATCTCTCTGCCGCCGCGCAGCTCCTGCAGCGGAAGCTTCCCCAGCACGCCTCGACAGCGCCCCAACGGTCTCCAAGCGTCTCTCAGCCTTCCAGGGCAGGGCCCGATCAGCCCCCCCATTTCGGGGCACTTCCAACCCGCCTCCTATTCCGTCCCCCCGGGCAGCCACTTCCCCCAGTCTGCAGTGTTCCACCAAGTGCCCGGTGGCTATGTCCCGGGGCCGCATCTCTTCCCGGCCGTCGTAAGGAGCCCCGGTCACACCGGACCAGTCGCCCTTCCACCGGGCTATCAATACGTGGTGGTCCAAAATGGCTTTTCCCCCGGTCATGGAGGAGCGTCGGCACCTCCGCTGTACGCCTCCCACAACTCTCCGCCCCAGTTTGTGTCAGGCAACTCTTCCGCTGGATCTCCCCACGGTTCCCCTGCACCCGGCTACGGTCACAACCATCCGGCGGGGGGCTTCCAGCCCCATGTTTTCGGGGGGGAGTTCGTCCCAGGCCACGTCGGGGGATCGGTTTATCCACCCGGTTTCGGGGCGGCGCAAGGCAGCGGTTACTCTGTCGCACAGCCGAGCGGGCTGCATCCGAGCTCCGGGGAAGGTGCGCCTATATACTCAAGTTGACGGTGGTCCCGGGCCATGGTCCGCCGCTTCCAGGATTGCCTGGACCGCTTTCAGCTACGTCATCTGTGGTATCTACAGAACGTAGATTAGTTGGGTCCGCCTTCATTCTATGGTCAGCAGCAGAAGCAAGGCAGGTTTATCTTTAAAGAGATCGTTATGGAACTTCAAAAAGTAGTCAGCGCACACATGTGTCTTGCTTTGGAGGTCCAGCTTGTGAGAGACAGGTTGTGTTCGAGTGGAAGACTCTCAAAATAGACGAGAGAGATTCGTCTGGAATCCCGCCTTGAATGTTCTCTTTTACTCGCTCTGCAACGCTTGATTTTTTAGATTCTTTACTGGTGCTTTCAAGATATTGATTCTGCAAGGGCTGAGTGAGTGGCTCTACTTCTTTGACCGGCAATTGCTGAAAGTGTCAAACCAAACTTCAATGCTACTTCGTTCGAAAGAGCTGTCGTGCATCGTCCCAGGTTTGGCAAGAGCATCCACGTGTTTTCAGGGGCTCTTTCGTGTTTCTGCAGATTCAGCCGGGCGTGCTAATCCAGGCGATGCCCGGCAGAGCAACGGACAGCACCTGACACAATACCAAACCGTGCCTGCACCGTAAGTTTTAGCGCTGAAGTCACCAGTACTAGTGAGCAGCTCAAAAGCGTGTGTCAGACGCGTTTGGTGGTCGACGCCTAGGAAGCTTTTTCCAGTGTGGGGGAAGCTCAACGGAACCAACTGGTCATAAGCGCTCTCGGTTCTGATCCACATGGATTCGTGAAGCAGGGATCTAAAAGCTTGCTTCACATTGTTTCTTGCTGCGGTATTTAGTGTGCTCGAGACCCGTACGAGGATGGATGCTGAGACTCTTAAACTTCTTGTCAACAGAACTTTCGCCTACTAAGAAAGTTGTTTCTTATCAAGTCAGGGCACTGGAAGTTAGGGCACTGGAAGACAACGTGACAGTCATGGTCGACAACGGTTAGCTGCTAACTCACTCCTACCCGTCACAGGCCGGCGAGGGCAAATCAAGAGCGAGCTTCGGGGGCGCGTGAGCTGGTGAGCCTAGCCCTGTCCAGATTAGAGGTTTTGCCGACCAATTCTTGAGTTTAAAGGTTTTGGGACTGTGCCCGGCAGCGATTATGAACCTTAAATTTGCAATATCGCAGTCGTGAGTCTTCTCAGCTGTCTGGGTAGTGCGACACACATGGACTTGATCGGAAGTTCGTTTGGTTGAGGCCAAGAGCAGGCTTTGTAAAGAGTCGGACATGGACGAGTTCGTCATGCAGACTCCTGTCCTCTTCACCCCAACATTTTGACCACAGTCTCTGCATACGCGGGTTCCTTTCGAAAACATTGACCAGACCGTACATTTGATACAATAGAGCATACGCTCGATTTTCCTTTGACGGGAAAAATTACGCGTGCAGCAGGCATATGAAAGTTACAGTCTCCAACAGCTGACCGACGCTACAAACGGCTTCAGCCGAGAACTAGGGGGTGGCGGATTTGGGACGGTGTACCTAGGCACTCTCATGGGTACACAGGTGGCCGTCAAGAAGATGAACCCCGAGGGACTTCAGGTTAGTTTTATCATTTTTGCAAACCTCTGATCTGCGTTGCGGATTGTCTCATGACGAAAGCAGAGACTGACCCAATTCGGGGCCGGCTGATTTTGAGTGGAAAAGGAGGAAGCCGATGACGGAAGCCACGTCAGCAGTTTCCGAGTTCCGCAAGGTCGGTCATGCTCTGGTAGACGGAGGCGGAAAAGGCACGGAGCAGGTACTGTCAGAATCCGCAATCTCCTGACACTTTCCTATCGTACTTCCGCCTTGAAATGCCGTGAATCTCCAATTGAATCTGAACATCGAGGACGATGCAGAAGCACTTCGCGCAGGGAGCCAATCTCAAGCTCCGAATTTCCGGACCATTCGAAAGCTTGGAGCGTGCCTTTCTATAGAACCCGGAATTCTCTTGAGGAGTTCGCAGGTGAATGTTCCAAACGGTCAGGCGGAGGCTTTGTCCGTACTCCTGGCGCAGCTCATTCGTAGCGAGTCTTGCTTCCTGGGAAGGCTTGCTTCCATCAATTCATACAAGTCCAGCAGTACTCCTTAGCATCAGCCCCATTGGCTCAAGGACATTGGATAGACGGCTGCTTATCAAGATACTACCTAGCTCGATCGTGAAGTTTTCTCTTGGAAACATATCTCTTCAATTTAGCAATGGTAAGCCCAAGCAATAGTAAGCTCCCCACTGACACTAAAACCTAACCCACAGAATCACCCGCTCCGCACCCGATCCCACCCTAACTCCCAAATTAACCCTACCCGTCCCAGGCTGGTTACCTTACTATTGCTAGAGCATACTATTGCTCTAATTGAAGATTCTTGGAAACTTTTATGCAGGGCCCGGAGCAATTCGAGTGCGAGGTGAAGCTGCTCACCACGCTGCGCCACCGGAACATCGTCATCCTGATGGGCTGCTGCCCAGAGGCGTTCTGCCTCGTCTACGAGTACTGCGCCCAGGGATCCCTCGAGACCAGGCTGGCCGACGAGACCCGCCCCCTGCCGTGGTTCGCCAGGGTGCGGATCATGCTGGAGGTGAGAAGGATTTAGTTCCTGTTCCACTCCTTCAAAAGTCGCCCAGCGTTTTTTATTCCTACGGTTATTGTACTCGTTTATTTCTTTGCCTGTAAGAGCCGTCGTGTTTGACGGTGCGTTGCACCGTATTCCTGGCTCTGGTCCTGGAAAACAGGAAAGAAGTGAATGAAGTGCCTTAAGGACCCCAGTCAAAGCCGCAGCTCCTCGGTTGCCGACGTCAGAACTACAAACCCTGTTTTTTAACACTCATACGGTCACCTTACGTTGGAACGCATCTATTACGCCGCACTGTCCCCAGCATCAGAGCGTTCTTAATGACCGATCGCTCCCCAGTCGCAAACCCTCCACGTGCTTCGCGGCAGATCGCGACAGCTGTCCTGTGGATGCACAAGCACGGCTTCATCCACTGCGAAATTAAGCAGGCCAACATGCTGCTGGACGAGAGCGACACCGCCAAGCTGGGCGACGTGGGCATCTCCAGGATGATCCCCTCGCGGGAAGCGCGGACCGCCCGGCTCACGGGGGCGCTGACGGAGGGCCTGCGGACGAACTCCACCGTCCGGGGCTCCTTTGGTTACGTGGACCCAGGTTTGTCATCCACGTATAAAATAAGACGATGAATGGAACTGTCGATCGCGCTTCGAATCGTCTCGCACGACCGGAGCTCTGTGTTTTGGAAGTGTTAAGCCCATCCTTTGGCTCGAAGGTCAAGTGCCGATGGTGTCGGGGTGTGGCACGAAGCACTATTTAAATAGAAAGCGGAGCTATATATCTGCGCTTCAAATCTTCTCCTACAACCGGAGTTTCATTGTTTTGCCATGTTTTTGTGGCTTGAAAGTCAAGTGCGAATGCAGTTTCGAGTTCGTACCCTCACGCACTTTAGCGTCTCGTAAATGCATGCAAAGCTTATGTGAAGGAGGCTTGCGGTCGTTCGCGCACATCTCTCCGGTAATGATGGCCGTGCTTTCGTCTTCGCCAACCCGCCGCGTCCTACTTCAGTCTATACAGAGTCCTTTTCCCCTCTTCCCTCTTCCCTCTGCGGCCTATTTTCCCATTTCTTCCTACGCCCGCCGCCCTTTACTAACCCTCCTCGCCCTGCCGCTCAGCGCTGTTCGACGGCTACCCCCTCGAGGCACGCAGCGACGTGTACGCGCTCGGTGTGTGCCTGCTGCAGCTGCTGACCAAGCGGGCTGCGGGCGCCGTGAAGCGGGAGGTGAAGCAAGCGTACGTCAGCAGGACCATGCCCGGGATTCTGGACCGGAGCGCGGGAGACTGGCCCCTGGAGACCGTGGTTGAGGATGTGAGAAGCTTAATTAATCTCCCGGGAAGAAAGGACGCTTTTGGGTCCTTCTTCTCAATGACTGCCCTTTTGTCTTTTTGTGCGGGTATGCGGAGGGAACCGTGCTTCAAAGTGGAAGGGGTGCTTGATGTTGCCAGCCAGATCGCGGCTGCAACGTGTCACTTGCAATCAGGAAAACCGTTCACAGAGTTTCAAGACGACGATAGGGATTCACGAGGTATGAACAGGTGCTTGGATCGAGATGGCCAGCGATGCGTTCAATAACCTTCTGCTGACGACATCTCCCTTCTTTGCCGCTCTGTCACACCCGGAGCCCGGCTCGCCTCGCACGAAAAGTGTTCGCTTGTCAAACGGAGAACGGCCTCTGGCGCGGCCCCGTCGTTCGTCGGACATGAGAGTAAAGGTCTTCCCAGAACGCGAATAAAACCCCTCGTATAAGCTTCCTGCTCTGTTGCTCAAACTTGTCTCGACCGTACGCCAAAGTTCAGTGCCCTCTGAGTATCAGCTCCTTCCAAGAAGCCCTTTCTTGGTGCAGCTAACAAACCTTGGCCTCCGGTGCACCGAGTATGACCAAGACAATCGACCAGACCTGGAGTCCGAGATCATTCCGGTTCTGTCCCGCCTGAATGACCTGGGGAAGGCAGCCGAGCGCCAGGAACTAGAGAGCCTGCGCCGCGCGGCCGCGAAAATGGCCGCCCTCCGAGCGCCCGGGGCGCGCCCCCGGGACAACAGTGACATCATGGAGAGTAACTTCTGCTGTCCGATCAGTCAGGTGAGACCTGGAACCAGCGAGATTCAATTATTGCGGATCAGAAGTAATTTGGCGACTCAGCGCCTGTCAGAGTCCACAATGTGTCGCCGCAATGCTGACGCAATTGAGAGGCACGTGTCGTCTGCCGGGCAGGTGCCGGGCGATTGAGGAGCCCGTCATTGCAACACTGCGCTGATCATCGATCTCATGAAGCAGCTTTGTTTCAAGCATTTAGATCGGGGCCTTCACGGGCAGAAAACGCAAAGGCTGTAAGTCCGATGCTCGGACGTCCGTGAACATCTCTCAAAACCCTTACAGGAGATCATGGAAGATCCGGTCGTGGCGGCTGATGGGCACACGTACGAGAGGAGCCAGATCCAGACGTGGCTGGCAAGGTACCGCACGTCTCCCGTGACGGGCGCGCCTCTGCCAAACACGAACCTGCTTCCCAACCATACCGTCAAAAGCGCAATCTTGGAGTGGAGGCAAAGAACCGGGGGCTAGATTGGTCGAGGATAAGAAGGGCTGGAATGGATGAGATGGCCCACTACTGGTTGCAACTATTGTTTCCAAAATATTTCATTGATGACCCTTTCCCAGAGCAGAAAGTTGTGGCGCTCAAACGAGCCTGGGTGGGCAAAGACCCTAAGGGGTTGTAGATACTGGAACGGGCCCGGACTGTAGACAAATATTGTACCGTTGTATGTATGATTAGTACGGGGTTATTGCAACAAACAATTCTAGCTAGAAGTGTTTGGCAAAGACGAAGCCCAAAGCCTGTATATTGTAAGAAAGAGCCACGGTCGGCTCCATAGTGATGAACAGTGGCTCTCGAGCTACAGTAGTATTGTGCGTATATCAGTGGGACTAGTAAAAGGTTGAAGTTGCCAGTACTACAAGGCGCCGTATCTATATCACGTTGCCAGGAGTCCTGGAAGACGTTGACAGTGAGTGACGCAATCACCTGACAGATGTCTGTACTTATTTGAAAGAGAAAGCTGTAACAGTTTGTAGAGGCAGTTAAAATCCACGTTCACACGTCAATCAATTGATCACCCCGTCGATCAACCGCGCGTTAATTCTCGAACCGCAACGGGTCGGATTGGCACGAGCCCATGCATGCATATGACATCAGATCTTGCAGACGCTACTATAAGATGGTGTCTGAGTACATCAGTTGTTCGCCCGCCCGCAGCTTGTAGTTTTTATCATCCCGTGGCTGCATGCATCGACGTGCGGTTTTCTTTTGCAATTGCGGTCATGGGACCGGACTTATAGGTCACATGACCACTTTGAGCGCCCGCCCCTGCAGCTATGACCAAATTACCTGGCCGGGGAATGTGAATACGTACAACGAGCATTTGTCACTGCCTCCGAATTGTAAGTCTGCGAATTGCAGCGCCCAGACTCTGCCGTACAGCTATTGTCGGAAGTCATGTCTGGCACGTGGCGCCAGTGATTTGTCTATGTTGTACCTAGCTGGTTGAGTGCGTCAGACTCACATTGACAACGATTGCGGCCGCATACAAATTCGTTGCAGAAATTCTAACCCTCGGCACCAAGCTACTAATTCGACGTAGGTGCATTTGCGAGCCCGCCGTTGGAGTTCTGTTCATTGATTCTGTGCGCGGCCAGCGGTTGACTTACCATCCGACATTCAGGCTTGAACAGCATTTTTTGCATCTTGGCACTCAGTGACTGAGATCGACGAGAGTCCGCATGGCGGAGGCAGTACAAGAAGTGCATCAGTAGCAAGTCCGTGGCAGCGTTGGCCGCTGAGCTCGAGTCCGTATACGAGTGGTCGATCTGGTATAAGAGCTACCATCCAATTGACTGGGTCGAGCTCGTTTCACTCGTCGGTTCGCACGCAGATTTTGCAGTGCTGAGTGCACCCATTGGAACGTCAGCATCCAATTAATACACTGAGCAATGAGCGACGTGTGCAAAAAAATATCCACTGAAACGATTATTGACATGCAAGACCTCTGCAGTCGACGCCGGTTGTTTGCTGCACGATCTGTATAAAGTGATCCGCGTTTGAGAGCTCACCTATGCACGGTAGCGAAAAAAGCTTAGTATATTGCAACGGGTAATCAGCATCGCTTTAATTACGATACTAGCACTATCGTCTCAACTATCTAGGTCCGAACATTGCATCAAATCCTACTTGTCCACAACCCGAACCGCAAAGACTTTATCAAGGACTTTTGGTAAGGTACGAATGTCCCAATGAGTAGCAAACTTGATCACTTGAGTATCCGTTTCCGCTCGGACAGTCATGCCGAGCCCCCAATGGATGTAATCTGGCTGATGTTCTTCCCAAGAGAAATCGTACACCTGCATCAAACATGAATTCAGCTTGAAAATTGGGAATCAATGCAGAAGCTCAAATCCGAGTTGGCACCGTTTTCCAAAGCCGTACGATCCAACTCGCATAAAAAGGAGATATTTGCCACGCTCAACGGAGATCGTCCGAAGTGGCTCTGTTGCTATAGTGCTATCCTTCGATCGACATGCTTAAAAAGTCTGCTTCTTGCTGACGTCAACGATTTGCCAAATGACACATCATGCAAAAGACATCCTCTGTATCTTGGATTTGCTTTGCGCCATACAGCTTTGGTTCTTGAAAGTAACAAATCCCAATGACCAGATACGGTGGATGTCTTACCTTGACGGACGGACTTGGCCGGTTGCCGAAGTGCGACGCGAACCACTCCGCCACCGCCTGGGGCCCCGTGATAGTCTGCCCGGCATAGTCGTTGGTCAGCGTGACGTCAGACTTGAGATAGGACGTGGCAGAGGACGTCTGCCCGCCGGCAATCGTCGTCAGAAACCCTTCCATGAGTCCGAAGCAGTTCGAGAGATCGGCGCCATTTTGCGCGCCGTTTGTGTCCGTTCGGAGCGTGAACACCTCCGTTATCGGCTCTCCTGATTCGTCCCCTGCAGTGCAAAGAGAGCGACTGTATATAAAAGGCCCATTCTCATGGAGGTCGAGAAGGCCTTGAGAAACTGGATAATGGGCTGCCGATTGTAAATATTTACACCTTAATCTGTTTTTTTCCCCTCAGCCCCGATTTAAAGAGGCTTCGATGCGAACAAGCCAGTACCGTACTAAGTTTAACATCTGCTGACGTGACCGCAACAGCTCCAAAGAGGCCGCAGCTGTAGCACTTCAGCAAGAGTCTGATTGACTCAGCTTCTGCTAATTTCTTCAGCTAGCATTCCCTTGCGTCAGCTTTCCTACACTCTGTAGATTAATGAAGTCAGAATGCTTCATGTTGGTTCACGCAACCATCCGTCGATTGGAAGTCCCCGTACGTAGAATAGTATTATCCATGAATCAAGCGGAAAGGCTTACAATACTGGCAAGGAAAGTCGAGAACACAGAATGCCAAGCCTTACATCCCCTATTGCAAGCATGAGCTGGTGCAAGCATTGCAGACGGTCGCGCCCTGTGGGAGCTCAACTAGATGATCAGAGAATATCAATACAAGCAAAGGCTCGACACAAGCTGAAACCCCTCTTCTTAAACTGCACGCTGAGCATTGACTGCACTCTAAGCAATCCATGAAGATTCAAGAAACTGGTCGTCAAACGCAACGGTCAGCTGAGCTCACCAGAGAGAACGTCTCCGTTAATCTCGGCGACGGGGTACGTCTTGCCACACTGTCCCGTCCCATCGGGCAATGTACCCCACGGCAGAAACCCAGTGTCAACGGGACAAGTGTGGTAATCATGGTGTGGGATCCTGGGATCTTCCCAGGGTCCGCCTATAAGGCCGCCCAGGATCTGGACCCCCGGTCTAGTTGAAGGACTGGCGGTCTCGAACACCAATGCGGGCTTTGGAGTAGTTGGAGCTTGGTGCAACGTGCGTGCAGCAAATGCAGGCGCACCGAGCAAGGCGAGTGCGACCAGAAGTGCGAAGGCCAGCGGTTGAGCTGGAGCTGGCTTCATTTTTTGGCGGGAGGATGGAGCTATTTTTATGAAAGGTGTGGAGAGTGCAGGGACTTGATGCTGGAAGAGTGGAAGCTGAACAGAAGCCTATTCTGGCGCTACTGAGGGGGTTGATGATCCCCTTAATGATTCGAATGCGGCAGGAGACCTGGATAGAAAGGAAGGCAGAGCAGTTGAGAATTTGTGGGGCAAGTGTCACTGAAGAACTTTCTAAGTTAAGAGTGCTGAAGAAGAAGTGCAAAAGAGAAGAAGAGAGCTTGCTAATGAGAGTGGTGCGCCAAAGCCCTCATAATATATGCCAAGAGTCGTTCACTGTAGTTTCAGCGTTTGTGGGGAAACTACCTGTTTGGTTTCTTCAAGCGCAGATTGCACTCAATATGAGTCACAGCTGGGATATTGCAGTGTACCTGTAGTAGGACGAGGAAGCTTCACATGATGCAGCTGCTTTAGCCAGCTGTAGCTAGTTGCAGCCGTATTTAGTGCTTCTGCAGATATGTCACTGGCAGCAAATGCTGGCAGCACATGCACTGACAGCTGGCAGCTGAAGAGTGTTCACTTAAGATCAGTATCGACAGCATCAATATAGCTTAGCGTCCAAGGCCCCAGAAAGTGTTCCGCTTTTCAACGGCAGGAAAGATCAAGCTACTCAATCATGTTGGTCCTGCTCATGATTGAGGACGGACAAACCTACTGAGAAGCTTTGTGAGACGCCACAAGCTCAGCGCCCCTGCAAGTGTTATGAACATACGTTACTGCGCCTTGACCCCGATCAGTCAACAGCAGTACGACTCCTTACTGTCACGGGCCCCGGTTCACTGCTCACTTCGACGGTTGCAGGGTTGCAGCTGCTACCGGGCACTTTCTGGGAAGCTAGGTCGGAGTGAGCACATATGTCCGACTCCCGAGTCACAAACTGGGCCGGCCGGGCAAGGAGCCGCGTGCCACGAGGCCACGCGGTAGATCTGGCCGTTGTACGGTCAATTTGTACCTGGGTCCTGGACGGTCCTATACATATAGGACTTGTTCCCACTCCTTCCGCTCCATGATCGACCGGAATGCGGTCCGGGCGGCCGCTCCGGACATGGCCAACATATGGCCCACGAACATGCATGTGTGAGAGCAGCAACAGAATGACGTCAACATGCATTGACAAGTTTCTATAGTCAATACGCTTGGAGTGGTGCAATCAATTCTGCTACTAAGACCACTGCCCAAAAACACATGCATCTACTAACCTATCCGACTGCGAATTGGACCGTACTTGGAGAAGTACTATGCCTCGCACTTAGAAGGGCCACACAGGATGCCGTGATCAAGCACTTCCAAGTTGCAATACATCCGTGATCAAGCACTTCCAAGTTGCAATACATCCAGCGCATGTTGGAATCAACTCTGCAGAATTCACTCCCATTTGCAAGGAAAGAAGCTCACTCCCTGTTTGAACCTGCACCACATGTTGAGCTAGTGCATTCGATTGTCTGATCTACAGGAACGATCAACGATTCATTTCATTCAGATAATCTAGACAAATTGGATCAGACAATTGATTCGCCTATGCAACTGATGTCTATCCCTCTTCGACTGATACCTAGATTCGACAACCTGTCCTACGCCTATCCGCTGCTACGCCCGACCTACATCTGCTATCCGTACCCGAGGCTGCCGTTTTGCAGCGGTCTAAGCTGCTCGATGACTGGTTTCAAAAAGGCTTTGATCTGCTTCACGTCCGACCGCTGCAAGTGCAGGCAGTACTGTTCCGCGACGTTGGACGGGCAATGCACCGCAGGCAGCGCGACCGTCGCGAGGTGCACCAAAAAGTCGTCGCCACACTTCTCGTATAGCGCTTTCTGCGCTGACACAATTTCCCCAAAGAGAACGACGGAACTGGCGTCCCGGAGGTTGAAGGCGGGCCGCATCATGCTGTAGATGCAGCACTCGGGGCCGACCTGTTCGATGACGAAGCGGCGGAAGCCGGGGACCTTTTCCGGCTCGGCGCCACTCCCGCACCACTCTTGGGCGAACTTGACGAGGCACTGTAAGCAGATCTGCGGAAGAGCAAGGAAGAAATCAGCAACTTTCGTAAAGCAGCACAGCCGTCGACTGATCGAGGTGTGCAAACCCTGTCCTGAGTCAGTCTGTTTGCCGCCCACTTTTGTCCGCAGACCGATGAACGCGAAAGGGCAAAGACCGCAGATTTTCGGCAGGCTTTGGACTGCATTCTAGTGAAAGCACGGAGCCCAAATAAGCGAACGCTGACGGACGTGTGAAAAGCGATTGGCTTCAAGCTGAACCTTCAAGCCCTTATCCACGAATGGCCCCTTACATTATCCAACCGTTCTTGTGACATCGCCTGTCATCAGAAAAGAAGAGGATAGGCGACGAAAGCTCCTCACCTTTCTGACGGTCATGTCCGCGTGGGCTCGGGCGCCCTCGACTAACGTGGTCATGACTTTCGTCAGGCACTGACTGTTTTGAGGGGTGAGGAAGGCCGACGTCAGGGCGTTGGCCGTGATGGTTTGGATGAAGGTCAAGTATAACCGGTACAGGTCCCGCTGCTCCCGAATGTCCTGCAGATAGAAGCGGATACGGATAAGCTATGATGTGCTAGGTACCGTATGTATGATACGAGCTGCACAGAGTCGGAGGGGGAAAGGAGACGCATGTCAGATCCGCCCGTCAAAAGCCGCAAAACTTTCTGCTTCGTTTGCAGACCTTGGAGCCTGCTCAACGGACTGGACGGCCACAAAAGTGGGCGCCAATTTTCGGTAACCATTGCCAGAGCGTGTAACGTCGTCAAAGGCGACGGTCTCAAAGTACAAGAGGCTCGCCAGGTTGCATCCGAGGGCGATCCTTTCATGGCTCTGAGAGAGAAGGACTCTCAAGCCCGCTCGAGTGGATGATTGACAGCCTAAACGAGGTCCCCAATCTGTATGAACAAGACAGTAGGAACCATGTATCGGCTTTAGGCGACACAATATCTGTGACACTGCTGTCAGGTTCGCCGACTCCTAGCGCAGAAAAGCAAAGACGTCAACGCTTTTGCGTTTGCCCTCACCTCGGTGTTGGTCCCCGGTCCCTCCGGAAGCCCCCCATCGGGAACTAGAGCGAAAACACGCGCCACGATCGCCGGCAGGAGCTCCACCAGCAGCGGGCTCACGGCGGCCTTGAACTTGGCCATCAGCTGATTTGCCAGCTGGATGAACTCCATCATGTCTTTGGCCTGGGGCGAAAACAAAGGGTTTGGTAGAGGCGCTCGTGAGAGAGGAAAGACTTCGAAAGCATGGTTCGCCGTTTGATCGTATGCAGATGAGAAGCCCACGCCAGGCTGCGAGGTGCTCCGTCTACTGATGGGAAGAAAAAGGTAATTCCCTTGGCACGAGCACCCAACCTGAGAATCCAGCGGCACACAATCATCCACGACGCTCGTCGTTCTCGGTCGGTCTGATCTTTAAACTCAATCTCCGTTGTGTAACCCAGCGGGCATCAGAGTTCATTGCTCCTGCTCGCGCCGAAGCATTCCCATCGAGCCAGCTTAAAATGGCTCAAGAACTTGCTGTCGCCAGATGCACATTTACAAGAATGGCACTTTCGCCATTGATTTCAAGCCGAGCACTGCGAAAAAGCATGCGGTTCAATGAAAGCCTAGCCTGGGAGTATGCCGTTTGAATAAGCCACAGTTTCGAACCAACTCAACGCGCCTTACCTCGCAATCAACTAAAAGCTGCTGGATGGCGGCTGGGAGCAGCGGGAAAATGTTGGTCCCTAAACACTCGACCATGCGATGCACGAAAGAGATTACCTGTACGAGAACACGGAGCGTGCTTAGAAATACATCAGACTGAAGACCAATAAAGTGAAGCAAACATAAGGGTGCGCAAAACCACAAAGTGGATCCAAGCTAAGAACAAAAAAAGATGGTCTTCTGTAAGTAAAACAGACACTCAAGAGAAGAGACCGGATAAAGCCTCACACGAGATAGTCATTCAAAGCTGATGTGAACGCCTGCATGTTGCAATAAAGTCCACAATTATAAGTAATGAAAGCCCGATGGGGTTTGCAACTCACCCTGCTACGTAAACTCTTGTTCTTTGGCAGTCTTTGCAGAGCCTTTAGAGCTTTTTCCAGTGCCTGCAGCATGAACGAACGAAGTGAGATACAAACCCTTGACACACAATCTTTGCTCGTCAGCAACGAGACACGGTGTTAGCATGGCCTAGGCAGGCTTGATCCACAGGATTACAGAAAAAGGTATCATCCGCCTGCAATTAGCGCAGGGTCCTTGCAGAAGACAAGTAAAACAAGCTTACTAGCCGCACCAACTCCCGGGACAAGCCTTTGGACTGGTGAAAAGCCATGACAAACGATTGTCCCGGTTTTCAAGCTAGCTGGAAGTCGTGAGTTGCGGTTCGCCACAGTGCAGTGCCGAATGAAAATAAACAGCTTCCGCCCCAATGCCTGTAATGGCTTTCTCCCCTACGCTTGCACTAAGGTTTGCTACCGTCTCTTCTCCCGCCCTCTCCTGTCATTCCTGCCTTCTAAAACGCACCCAACACAGAAAAAGTTACCAATCTCATTTCCTCACCTGCTTAAAGTTGGCCCCGATCTCCGGCCGCTTATTCGCCGCCAAATGCTCCCCGAACCCCTTGCTCAGGTACGCTATGGCAAGAATAACTTGCTGCAGAGTGTTGACGGCCGTCGCGGGGCCTTCTAGATCGCCCGCCGGGATGCTCGCGAGCACCGACTCTAGTTGCTGGAACAGCGGGCCCAGGAGCGCAGTGAGATACTCCTGCTGCTTCGCAGAGGGGACCTCGTCTACGCCGACGAGAAGGCCGATGGCCTGCGGGAAGACAGACACGAAACCCAGAAAAGATGATGATACGGCACAATCGATAAGCTCCAAATGATGCGCCGATTCGTAGCCGAAAAATGTAACTCCCTCCGCATCCCTAGCCACCCTATCCTGAACTGACCCTCCTTGCACCAGTGCGGTTACACTACCATTGTTGCAGCTCGAAGTTTCTTTCTTGAGATCACTCAGACGAGAATAAGAAGAGGGACACAAGAAACATCGGAGATCAAGTAGAAGGACTGCAAGTTACTCGGTCGTTGAAACACGAAGGCGAAGAGAGGGCATGCCTTCTTTCTTGGTCTTGCAAGAAGGTTTCACGATGGCCGCTCTTTGAAGCAGGGGTTTACAAGAAAGTAAACCAACACGCCGTCCTCACGGCTGGGTCACAACGCCAAAATAACCACTGTGCCCTAAATCGGCCTCTACAGCTCTAAATTGGCTCTTCCAGAGCAGGGAAAGTCACTGTAGTCGCCACAGAGACGTACCTCGAAGATGTACAGGCGCTCGTCTGTGCCGTCGCCTTTGCTGGGCACCGACTCGCTGGTGGTGATGGCCTCTAAAAGGTCTTCTAAACTCTGCACAACCAAAAGGAGGAAGTCAATCTGGCACTCTAGAGGGAGCGAGGCGTTGAACAGCGTGCTATGAAAACCTTGGGCAAGGCGGATGCCCGGGAGACGGGCGTCGAATATAACAGACTCGTACGGGGTTTTGCACTAACGATGGCGCAATCGCCCCTGAAAAACATACAGTAATTGCTAGTGCACAATCCCAGGTCCAACACTTCCTCCATGCGTTTTGTGACGCTGCATGAATGTTGCTCTGCCGGAAGAAACGCAGTATAAACAAAGTCGGTTTTATGCAGCGGTCATTTGGGCCCCAACATACCGAAGCCGATTTTGAAGACGTGCATGCTTGTGTCACAAAACAAAGATTCAACGAACAGAAAGAGAGGACAGCTACTTGCCTGAAGGATTGTATCTACAAAAGGTTGGAGCTGCAGGCGCAGCACTTTTACTAGCCTCATGAAGAGGTAGCTCGCGCGACTGCACCACCAGATTGACACGTGTCAGCTTTAGCTACGCATGCACGATGCAACCAACAGAAGGTAGCAGTCAATCAAAGCCTGGCGCAATCGACGAAGACTGAGAAGCCATTGCACGAGGAGTCCTGCGACCTTGCGAATACACCCTGAGATGCTAAAGAAAGCGACTCGGAAGGCAACAGCGGACGAACATTATTGACGTCAGCAGCAGATGCGAAAGGCAACAAAAACATCGGCTCGACCTTCTCCCGCTCCGCCCGAGTACTTGTCCCGACTGGAACATGAGCCGGCAGCATTCAACAGACTGCCATTTGCAATTGATGCAATCGGCGATGAAAGCCATTCTCGGGTGCGGCAACTAGAGACCCTGCTCATTTGGGGCCTCACCTTCGGACCCCTGCGTCTGGGTGGTGAACGCCCCTAGCGTCCAGAAACACCGACAAGACTGGAGGGATGTACTGCGGACGTTGCTCTACGAAGCGGACGTATCGGACGACGGTTTCGAGGTACAGCTGCGCAATGACCTGCAAAAAGCAGAACACTCCTCTTTTGGGTGACGGAGACTTCACAGCACTCGCAGACAGCTTCCCATTCATGATTCAGCAGCAAATAACAGACTCGGTTCTCGAAGTCAGCGCCCTTTGCTGGACGCTTCAGTGAAGCCTGACAGCCGTGAGGTCCTGTCCTGCCTCAGATTCGTGACTCCAAAACGCCCCTTGAGCGTTCCCTCAATCGACCTCCAGACCTGTAAACTCCATCGGGAACTGAAGCGCCGTGGTTCTGAATCAGTCCTCAACTCAGGGAGAAAGCCTGCTAAGAATGTAAGACAGGGCAAGTATTTGAGATTCAGCCATACGAGCCTCACCCGGTGCGCATGGTGTGGGACTTTGGAGGACAGGAGCGCTTCGAGCATATCGCCGAGGCCCCCGGGGCCCGACTTGAGTGTCTCTTCGTTGATCTGCTCGCCCAACTGGTACAAAAGCTGGACTGCGCCCTGCAGACGCCAATTTGAGGTGTGTAAGCGGTGGCTAAAGCCTTAAGACATCAGTTTGAACGCAAATCGACGGTGAATTCCGCCAGCCACAGAAAAGACCACACATACAAAAAGACCCCATCGGAAGGAAACTATCCCGACAAGATTTTGTTGAACAGAGGAAGAAAGCGGTGTCTGCGAAACCCATGGCGTAATTTTCCTACTTCCAACCACCGAATCGTTGACAATAGCATGTCATCACGAAAGCGCCGCTTAGCGAGCATATAGTGTCCCCTGCATTCCGCCGTCAAACCCGAGAGGGGTAGCATTGGACAGCACGTCGAATTTGATCAACTTGGAATCTCCCAAGGCTGCTCTACACTACTTATTGCGGCTGCGACGATATTTGCGGGGTCGCTGTATGCCATACACTTCAGACATCAAAATATGGCTCTGTTCATCCCAAACAGTCCCCGAAATCTCACCTCTACGTCCTCTGCGGATGCATCCTTGTTCCCCAGCACCGTCAGCAAGTTCGACTGCACGAACCCGCGCGTGACTTCGGGCGCAATTTTGGAGATGCTCCGCAGTACGATGAACAGATCCCGCCGGTACTCGGCCATTCGGTCCTCCTCCTCGGCGGCTTTAGCGTCCAACTGCAGCAGAGATACCGCCGCTCTTGTCAACTAAGCCGTTAATTTTCAACCGAAGATCAAAAAGCACGAGTCCGTGTAAGCTCTGGGCGAGTGCAGGAGTCATGCCGAGACTTCCCGTTGCGCAGACGAAGCTCGGCTTTGGCGTTTCAAGCCCTCGCTCAGGCAACTCAGCCATTTACATAGTTCTTTCCGGGCCTGTTTTGCATCAGCCTGCTAACCGTCTTCTTGGCAGAGAAAGCTCGAGTCTCCTTCCCGGCACGGGCCGCCCTGCCCCAGACACATCAATTACAACAAAAGCCCTGTCATAGCTTGTACTTGATCAACAAAACATTTTCAAAGGAAGCCTCGTGTTCGAATCCCGCAGATGTCCATGGCGACAAAAGGACACAAGGCCTTTCGGAGGAAGCATGCGCACCTGTTCGAGGGTGCCCATGGCCCCATCCTCATAGCGCATCCTGCTGCGCAGCACCCCTAGCAGCTGGCTCAGATGCTCCCCCTGCTTCTTGCTCAGCTGGCTGCCCCGCTTGATGCGGCCCACGTACGCTTGCAAGAACTGTAGCGAGAAAAAGGGTCTTGAATCTGGTGGCTGTTTAAAGAGAACGGGAAACCTCGAGGGACCTGCACCCTCGTTTGCACAGGGCAAGATTTCAAGAGATTTCGATCAGTATACCAAAGCTCCCAACCGGAAGCAGGTGAGCGGCGAAGGAGTCTTCTACTTCGCATGTCTCACTGGCATGCGGGAGCGAAACAATCTTCAAATCAGCAACTAGCAATGGGTGATGCAGGGACCACCGCCTGTGCGTAACGCTCCTCAAGTTATTCCAACTCTCCAGCTCGGTACTACTCGGGTCAACTTAACAACAAGGACGATGGCCTCGGTGACGGAATGGGGGGATACATGGGGGCATACGAATTCGCTAAGAGCCTCCCTGTCGAAGCCACACCCTGATGTTTGGAAACGAGGCTGACCCATTATTATCCAGGTAAACCAATCCCTCATGCTACAGATGCCCTGAGCTTCAAGCCCCTCGCAGAACTTTTGTGTCCAATGTAACTTCCATTGCAAGGACAACTGAAAGACCCGCTGCTTTTGCAAAGGTGGTTACTAACATAGGCGTTACTCTTCCATTGCAAAGAACCATAACCTCCTTAAAGAAGCCAAATGCTACAGACTTCCGTCCCTGCCATGCCGTCAACTGGCACAAAATATTTCTAGTAGCTATTGCAAACTAGGTCGTTACAACCCAAACTTAACTGATGAAGAGCGCCACTCAAGGTCTACACAACGTAGCGCCTACCTGGAATGTCGTCGAGGAGATGTCCTCATCCCCGTGTTCCAAGAAGTAGAACACTGCCGGAAGCACATCGTCCATCATCTCCGTCACTGCCGCCAGCGCGCCGGCCTTCTCCGCAGCATCCGTACTGGTGCTTACTTCAATTTTCTGCAAGGTGCAGAAGTTTCAATCACCACGCCGCACCCTCTTTTAGACCTCATGCAATCAAAGCTGTCGGACACTTGGCGTCCGAATGTTGCACAATGTGAGCACCTGAAGAGGCGCATGTGATTGATTGATGTCAGAACCTGCTAGCACCATTGTGGGGTCTCAATGAATCGGCAATCACAGAATTTTGGTGCATCTCGCTTCACGAAGTATCCAAAAGTTCCTAAAAAGCATAGCCCTGGACACCTTCATATGGATGTCCAATTGATCAGGATTATATGGTTTGACCACATTTTCTCGTATACTTTAATCATCAGCCGCACTTTTGTCACTCTCAAAAGCATCCGCAGAACCAAATGAGTACCCCTCTGCTTATGCAGAAAATATGATAGTTCTGGCCGCAACCTTCACTCTGACCAGCAAGGGTTTCGCGGGTTTGGTATAGCGAATTGGCTGACTGGATTTGATTACGCGAAACAGAAGGATGTACCACCAACCTGTAATTTGCAGAATTTTTGAATCAGCCATCACTCCTTGTTTGTGAAATGGACAATCCGTGCACTGCTTCATATAGCATAAACCCTAGGGGCAACCCGCTGACCATCATATGATCAAAATCTTGTAAAACCATTACCAAATCTTGGACTGCAAAAGCATCCAGCAAGGAAGGACAACAGATTAAGGCGCCAGACGCTTACGGAAACCTGAAGTACCAAAAGCAACTGAATCTGAAAGCGTTCAGAAGCTTTCCGAGACCTCTCTTTGAAACAACATTTGAAACAACTTTGTCAACCACAATTGCAGAATTCCGTACCCGGTGGCACTCCAGCAGTTCCTCTGCAAGTCCTGTGAGCAGCTCCGTCAGCTTCAGCGCAAACTCCGCGTCCTTCACGTCGGTCAACCCCTTGCAGACCTCCACAATCTGCAACCTCCTTAGCAGCGCCAGCTTGGCCACTCCATCCATCTTCTTCGACACAATTGCGAGGAGGCAGTCAGACGCAGCCCCCCGCAATTTGAATGGCTCGGCCGCCGACGCCAGAAACCCGAATAAGAGTGGCACAAAGCGCTCATTTGCCACGAGCCCGATGTCAACCCACGCCACATACTTTTGCACTGCCTCCAAAGTCGCCGCTGCCAAAGTAGGATTTACGCTTTTGTATGCCACCACTAGGCTATAGCACGCCTCCAGGATCTGCCCTATGCATTGACCCCGCAGCGCATCTTTGATCCGGTTTGAAACCGCAATTTCGTCTGGTGACCGCGGGAAGTCTAAGCTAACGACCTCTGCGTCGAGGTCGATGAGAACCCTAATGAACATGTCGACCACCGAGACTCCTCGACTGAGGGCCTGCAGTAGGTCAACGAAGACGGAGGGCCACCCATTGGGATACTCGATGTACACGAGAAGCACCAGGATCTGCGCTAGCTTGTTCTTCACAAAGACGGGCCGCGCATCGATCTCCCCAACTTCGATTATGGCTGAGAGCACTCCGGACCGGATGAAGAGTTTTTCAGAGCTATCTAGACTCAGATACTGACCGCGAATGATCTCCTCTAGGGTCTGTAAGCACCAGAACTGGACCTCAGCATACTGAGAACTAATCAACCGCTGTAAGCACAGGCGCCAGGGCTGCGGTTGCAGCTTTGCCTGATTGCAGTAAGCGATAGCGCGCTCCTTGAGCTGGGCGTCCACTGCCCCACTCTGATCAAAACTAAACAAGATAGCCTTCTCAAAATCATCCATCGGGTGTTGCCGCTGATTACTACTGACCGCAACCGTTACCTCCCAACTCTGGCCTTTGCAGGAGCGAGCTTCGCTTTAAACAGAGGCCTACCACCTAATCTGCACGTAAGCCCTCCCAGGAGCCGCGACAAAACGCCCCTGGCAGGCTCTGTATGTCACTTGACTGCCGTGCGCAGCTCCAGTGGTTCCATCGCTTCCTAATTCTCCATCTTTGACCGGAGAAAGAAGAACATGCTGTAAGGTCTAGAGCTTGATGCAAGGAAGTTTTTCAGAGCCAAGTGCTGCATCCTGGTGTGCAAACAACTTGCAGCGCCCTTCTTTTCCAAAAGCTCCTCTGAGTCTGAGTCTGAGTCCTCATGTTGCTGATCAATCGCCCTTGCTCAGCTGCCAAAATACTCCACTTCTAAAAAGTGGAGTCTGGAGAAACGCCGAATGTGCCGGGCGTTGCTAACCTAATAGCAATTCATCGCGCGCGCAGCGCTGAAAGAGCTTATATCAGCCGTTGGATCAAGACACATCGAGCTTTCCGACGTCGATGTGTTGACACCGATACCGACACTGCACCGTCGGCTTCACGGCATTGGCTCGGAGTCGAAGCACTGCATGGTGAGTCTGAATCAGACTCTGATCCCGCAGCAGCCAGCATTTTGCGTGCAGCAAAGTGGCCGGCTAGGACACACGTTCTTCTGTGCCAGGCTACTAGGACTGTGGCGGAAAGAGAAATGTTGTTGCAGTGGAATTATCAGCAGCTCCGCCAGTGAATTTGTCAGCAGCTCCGCCAGCTCAGCCCTGAGCTGTAGCCTGCAGAGGGGATAAGCGGAAGGAAAGCGAGCTTAAGCAGTTGTTGCTTGCTAGTCGTACCGTGCCAAGACTTAACTTCCAAAAATGCCCTTCTGGTGAGCCAGTAACCTAGGAGCTCCCCCCTTTGGCAAGGCGGGACCCTTGCCTTTCTCCACATGTCTAGGTGACAGTAAAGTGGTGCCAGTCTGAAAGATGAGAAGGGGGACAGGAGAAAAAGTCAACTCTCCTGACGGCACGCCTTTCCCCGCTTCAGAGGATGATCCGACGGGAAAGAGGAAGCACGAAAGGCGGGTCCTTCGAGCTTTTGCAAGCCCACAGCAGACTCGATGCACCTTCCTCTTTGTTGTTGTGACCCTGATCTGCACCTATCTGATAATTCTAGGGTCCGAACGCTTTGGAGCACAAGTCACTTCCAAGGAAGGGGTATTGGCACAAAGTCTGGTTCAGCAGGCAGATGGTGATGGCTCTGGTGGTAAGGTTGCTAGTGCTGGAATAACTGGCGGACTTGGAAGGAAAGGACATGTGAGCCGAGGCCTTGCAACTAGTCGCCGGTGGCTTGATATCTTCAAAACCTCCAAGAATCCAAGATTGGACACACCATATGGCAACCTGCGAGTCTTCATTTACGACAACTTGAAGCTGCCTGAATCAGACCAGAAGATACGGCTGGTCGATGAACGACTGGACCAGAGAGCACAGACAGGCGGTCTCATTGCAGAGCTTATACGCAAGTCCAATGTGTACACAGGTTATGCTCAGCTGGCAGACTATTATCTTGTTCCGGTGAGAATATACCACTGTCTGTCAATGGCAAAGCACTTTCACAGAGTCAGCGTGGTCATATAGAATGCTCAAGTGTGCATTATGCTGCCCGACTCAACAACGACTTGAACAGATTGCTTGTACTCCATCAGGCTGTAAAATAGAGCAAACCATTTGGCTGGTGGTGATGGAGCAAGAACTCAATCTCATATGCTTTTAAGATATGTAACACTTAGCGCTAACGAATTGAGGATTTTGTTGCTCTGGCTATATCTCTAGATTCCTAGCATCTATGCCAGGACTGGTTGTAGTCACGTGCATTCAACCACTCCTCCAGAACAGTAACTAGCCTTGAATCGCAGGTACCAGATCCCAGCATTGAGGAACATATAGAAGGCCAGGATCCCTTCACCCCATTTGCTGCATTCATTGAGGATCTGTCCACTAAGTTTCCCTTCTGGAACCGGACTGGAGGGAGAGACCACATATTCCTGATATCCGAGAGTAGCCGTGCACGGCTCCAGGTAAGCACGATGCGGCCCAAGTGCCTGCAACGCATTCAAAGAGCCGCTTTTCGTTCCTGTAACGGTCTTTCCTTTCAAGAATCTCCACTGTGCGTGTCTAATTAAAAAACGACTCCACGAATCGCTTTCCTGAGGATTGCAAACATTCAAAAGGCAAGAAGCGACTTTGCTGCTCTACAGGAGCGCCGTTCTCCTACTTCTAAGCTCCCTCCAGGACTTCCATGGCAACCTCAATCCATTCAGCACCGTCTCAAAGCTTGCTCCTGGTTTGCAGGACGACGATCTTCTTCGCATCAGAAAGTCAATCTTCCTGCTGCCCCCTGTTCCGCGAAGCGAATCCCGCTTCGACACCTGGAAGGACATTGTCGTGCCTCCCAGCAATGGAGCGTCGTCGGACAAATCTATGGTAGGTTCACAAGTGGTCGCTGTCTTCAGCTTCAAACCTTCTTCATGCACCTGGCTGTAGTGAACGGGACTAGCAGCTTACCGAAACCGCTCCTTGAGACGTACAGCTTGTTGCCTCTTTTCCGTTCACGTCGGGATTCCTTGGAAGCTTTCCTTGAGCGCAGCAGCTACTGGTCTCAGTATTGCTCACATCTTCACGCTGGGTGGAGTTCTGCGCTTGACGGTTGCGGACACTCGTTTGTGTTCCGAAACCACTCGTTCGACGTCATCCAGTCTGTAAAGCGAAGCTACCTTAGCCAACCACCATTGCATCGCAAAAGTCAATGCGAGTGAATTCAAACCCCTTATCATTGCGATTTAGCCGTTCATTCGACTCCCATTCGACTAATCTTTGGCTGGGGAGATTTAAGAATCACTGAAGGCTACCTGCCAGGACTTCCTTGCGGAATGGAATGATGTGCGCGAGATCAAGTTTTCCGGTTCGGTACATACTCCTTCAAGATCGGTTTTCCTTGACTTGAAGATTCCTTTCTTTCAGGCTCGACAACGGTCCATCTTCGAGGTTGCGCCCACCAGGCCGCACCTGCTCTTCTTCGAAACCACCGCTAACGGAACTGACGGCTCCCCCCTCATCCAACGGCTGTCCGAAACCCCTCACCTTCCGGACACGCTCCTGCCGTCTGATCCGCTGACGTGTCACGGCTCCTGCGCTCTGCAACGGGTGTTCGAGAGCAAGTTCTGTCTCTGCAATGGGCGGGAGTTTAACAGGCTGTTCTTCGGTGCGATCGGCGAGGGGTGCATACCAGTGCTGCTTGGGGACGCACCGGAGCTGCCCTTTGAGGCTTTTCTCGACTACGCAGATTTTACTGTGAAAGTCGAAGCTGACATTAGCAGAGAGGTGAGGTGATTTCCAGTTGTTTCAAGAACATGATAACAATCTGGTGAAAGCGCTGACCATTTCTGAATGAGAACGTTTACTTAACAGCTTCATAACACTTACAGAACAGCTTCAGAATCGCAAGATGACCCACTCTCTTCATATGAGGCTACGATTGTAATAACCAACATTTGCGCTTTTTGTGAGCTTGTCAGCGATCTGTAAAGAGCAAGCTGGTGATATCAATCAGATCTCAGTTGTATATATGCTGCAATCGACTTAAGTGCTCGGACACTCTCCATTGTTCTGTGCGCCTGGAACGATCTTCAGATTTAAGGGAAAAATGGAAAGCATGCACTCCTTCGTTGCGTTGCTTAACTGAAGACTGGGTGGATTTTCCTCTCGTATCTCTGGGAACCACCTAGACAGCTTTAAGCAACAAGCCAAGCGGCAGAACTTAAACATGGCTGATGACTCGGATGACACGATGATCCCTTTTGACTACATTGACTGGATACTAAAAGCAGACATTGACCAACTGCAGGGTCTGATCGACATTCTTTCAACGGTTGCGAAACATGCCATCGATCGAAAGCAAGCGGCGCTGAGCGCTGCTGCTCATTCGTTCCGGTACGACAGTGACAGTTGGATAGAAAAAGGTGCATTTGATCTTGTGTTGAGGGAGCTCGGAAGACGGAAAAGATTTTTTCGCAATTCGTCGGAACGCTTCTGGACAAAGGCTCTGCCGTTGGGTTGATTGTTTCTTCAGAAGCGCGTTGTACCGCGTTCGACTGGAGCAGAGATCTGCCGCGATAAAGATCCGCCGTCCCGTGGTTTTGGATGAGTTGTACTGGAGTTGAATCAAGATGCATGCATGCCACATCATGTCCAATTCAATACTGTGGGTAAATGACTTGCATGAAGCCTTACAGGCCTTGATCAATTTGCCAATTGGTACGGTAGGCGCCGATCGGCGCCCGGGCGGCCTGCGCGTTGAGGTGCCAGCCAAGCCTGACTAAGTCATACAGTGATGCACGCGGTATGCGTGGAATGTAGTGGCTTGATAGTAATGGATCTTATATGTAGTACCATAGCTCCCGGGGGGATCGTTGCGACCATCATACATACCCCTCATCAAACCCGCCAGCTATCAGAGCTTGCATGACAGTGGTCTGCAAGCGCGGCAGTCTGGCACCATCATGGCATTCACTAATCATTGATAAAGGCCTCAGGGCCCCTGGCACCAGCTGTCACTGCCACGTGTTTCCAAATAAGTTTCATTCATGCCGGCCAGGCCCATGCTGACTCGGTCCCACAATGATTGGTTAATTGCAAGTATAAGGGCTCAATGATCATTGTCAGATTCTCAAAGGATACCAAAACGCATGCGACGCCGTTGCGTAAGAAACTTGAAGCTGCACCGCAATTCTCAATTCTTCCCGACTAAGGAAAGGATATGCGCAGGGATCTCGATTTTCCGGCTGATGAAAGATACAGAAGTAGCTTGCAGCAAATCCGAGAAAGCGTGGTCTCAAAGTGCCGTTGAAGAGCTTGAAAGCTGCAATTACGATCAACGCTTGTGCAGTCATCTTTTGATCTTACGATCAGGGGCAATTGAAACTCAACGAAGTACGAGGTAGAGCTGTGCCTTTCTGCCAGATTACCTCGAGTTCTCTGACCTTGGGGACTGAACACACTACAATAGGAAACATCTACTGTAGTGAACCTCGCAATTTCGAAGTACGATGAAGTAAATCACCTTGATGTCAAAAAGGTATCTAAAGTAAAGGCCTCCTATCGGTGCACCGGATTTTAAGGTCGCACCGGAATTGACCTAGGCTTCCCGCAATTACGGGCCAAAACTCTCAACTCGCCTTCGCGACACAAAACAGTATTGCTTGGGCTCTACTCGGCTTCGATTTATTGGTGCACGTCAAATAGGTCATCTCCCTTCAAAAAAGTCTGGCACGCGCGGCCATCCGCTCTAGAGGGCCTCGAACAGGGAGCGCCTCATTTTGCGCGCGCACGTCTTTTGAGAGACGAAGGGGTTGTTGGCCGTAATGACGTTGATGCGATTGCTCGTCTGCACCGAAACAAGTCTCACACTAGTCAGTATGATATCGAGGGTTGGCAGTAAAAAGCAAGGTGACTAGCCGTAGCCTGCTCTTTTCAGATTCCCTTGTGGCAAAAGCAGCGAGTTTCAAGCCATCGTTTACCCGTCGAATCGCGAGGCACCCTGGGCCAGAAGTCGGCCCAGTCGGTTTCGACAGATCGGTCGAGGATAGCGTACTTCTGCCACGGTAGCGAAACAGACCACAGGGTTTGCATCTTTTTTCAAGGTTTGAGTCGTTTAAACCCGGGCACACTTTGACATGCCAAACTTGCGTCTTCGCTCTCGCACGAGAATCAGAGGAGAAGAAATATAGTCGGCGCTTAGCTGGACGCAATTTTGAGCGGGCGGAGCTTTCGGGGCAGCTAGATCTCAAAGTAATGACCCGAGAAGCTCCAGAACCATCTGACCAAGCTACCTCGTCGAAAGAAGCACGGCCGCTTTTGAAAGTAAGCCTTTGGGATGCAGACAAAGCTCTTGTGCACCATCCGCTTACCGTGAATCTGATCGGTGAGCATTTTTGCACATATTCCGAGGGGTTTGTGCTGATTTGAATATACTGCTACCCTTCACGGCGCTTACCCTGCGTGAAACCAAACTCATCTACGCAAACTCCCTTACCGTGATGTCCAAGAGCGAGAGCTTATCCTGCACGTATTCGCGAGCAGAAAGATGGGGACACGTTGGTCGTTTACAGGCAGAGTAAAGCCGCCGTGCAAGAGTTGGCCTAATTTAGGAATCATAAGCGCCAGCTATAATACGCTAACCACCCTGGGACGGGTGGGCTTAGTTTGGGAGTTTAGAGTGGGTACGGGTAGGGAGCAGGTAAATTGTTGGGTTAGGTTTTCAGTGGTTGTTCGGAGCTCATCATACCTAGCTCTCATTATACTTAAAATAATCCGTCATGCCGTGCAAATGCCGACTCACCGTGATGACGATGCGCGAGAGTTACTAACAGATGACGGCGACAAGTCGACTCGTCCACTAAAAGAATAAGCGCACTATAAACCAGGGCCCTGATCAAGTAACGCGTGTTCGAGTTCTCATTCTGCTTGAAAGTTTCGGTGTTCAGGTCGTTTCATGGCTGAAATGACCGGACTATCGAGTGTTCTAGCCGAGTTCCTGCTAGAAAGTGCGTGTGCCAGGCGCTTGTACCGGTACAAGGAGCCATCTCTGCTCGACCAAACCCGACGTCCTTGAACAGGCTTGAACGTCCTCTTTTCAAGTAAGAATAGCCACTTGAACATCGACTTGAACAGGGCCTTCGTTAATAGTGGCGCCGGCTCACCGTAATGTTGATGCGCAGGAATACTAACAGATGACGGCGACAAGTCGACACTTTCCACTAAAAGATTGTCGCCGAGAAAGCGCATTGAAAAGCAGGGCCCTGTTCAAGTAACGCGTGTTCGAGTTCTCATTCTGCTTGAAAGTTTCGCTGTTCAGGTCGTTTCATGGCTGAAAGGACCGGACGATCGAGTGTTCTAGCCGCATTCCTGCTAGAAAGTGCGTGTGCCAGGCGCCTGTATCGGTACAAGGAGCTATCTCTGCTCGAACAAACTCGACGTCCTTGAACGTCCTGTTCTCAAGAAGGAATAGCCACTTGAACATCGACTTGAACAGGGCCTTGGGCCTTCTTTGGTTCTGGCGCCGGCTCACCGTGATGTTGATGCGCGAGCATACTAACGGATGACGGCGACAAGTCGAAACTTCTGCACTAAGAGAATGTCGCCGAGAAAGCGCGCGCCGGCTCACCGTGATGTTGATGCGCGAGAATACTAACAGATGACGACGACAAGTCGAAACTTTTCCACCAAGAGAATGTCGCCGAGAAAGCGCGCGCCGGCTCACCGTGATGTTGATGGGCGAGAAGTTCTGCACGTACTCCGCGAGCACGTCCGCGAGCACGGGCCCCGTGGCGAGCAGCTTCTTGGAGGTGGCGAACATGGAGTAGCCGTCTCCGCCATTGGCCGTGAAATCGTTGGAAATCACGTTGTAGGTCGCCGCGGCATCCACTGGCGTGAAGCACTTGGCGATCGGGTTGAAGGCGACCAGCTCCAGGAGGCGGGACCCGGCGGGCTTGCTCGGGTCGAATGAGAACTTGATGCCGGAAACCTGTGGGCGGAAGGACGAAATCAGCGGAGTGGCGGAAGGGGAGAGAATCAGCGGCGAATATCGTTGTAAACCCGTGGACTTGGGCGACTCGAATCGTCAATACCCGGCAGCGAACGGCATTGAGTGGAAACTTTGCCGTTCCGCTGATAATGACCTCTCCGACTCAACAGTTTGGTCAGACCCAGTGCATGGGTTTAGGTGATAGTCAGTAAACTGCAAGTGACGATGCAGACTGAAATGCAGTTCACATCTCCGTGTCAGATCAGAATCTATCAAAGAGCCTGAACCTCTCAAGATCTTGCCAAGCAGGCCACGAATGAGTTGTGGCAATAAGATGAGAACGCACTCTTGTGAGACGCAAGAACCTGGTTGCCGCCACACGTCCTTCCTCTTAGCAGCTCAGGCTTGACCGGTTCATACCATCTTGACTAAGAAGAGGGACACGTGTCCGCACCTGGAGGAACTGGTTGCCCACGTAGGTCGGTGTGAAAAGGCCGACGGAGAACTCGATTGCGGAGCGGAGCGTCGCACCGTTCATCTGGATGATGGTCAACACGTTGCCGAAGGGCAGCACCGACAGGATCTGCGCGAGCGCGGTTAGTGACGTCAGCGGGAGCGTCAGCATGGGCAGAGGGGATTGAGAGAGCGGCCCGTGTAGGGGTGCTTTGCGCGAGCAGTTTGATGACGTCTACTCCGCCGCCAGCTCGGGTTGAAGCGCAATCCGGAAGCGAGGCGACGTCAGAATGTGCGCGGGCAAGCGATCCGTGACGTCAGTGTCACGCACAGGAGTGACGGTCAGGGAAAGTCGTGCAAGCGCGTTTGCCGGAGCGCCGACTCGGAAGTTTTGGCAAGAAGCTCAATCATGATCGACCTGCCGGCCTCTAATCTATTGTGTTCTGTGCGGATTAAAACTTAACTGCTGGCAGCCTGACTTAATACGAAAACTGCACAAGCTGCATCAGAGAAGGCGTTGGGCACGAAGGAGAAGCGACAAGAATGTTCAAGCCACGGGGAGGAGAGCCAGCTCGGGAGAGCAGCTATCAAAGCGAGAGGAAAGCGGTTGGAAAGAGATGCAGTCTAGGTGACAGAAGGTCACCAAAGCAAAGCGAATGAAGAGACTCGGAGAGCATGGACATTTCAACCAGGGAGCGAACTAGAAAGAGGGGAGAAAGCGATCGTTGCGAGTTACCTGGGCACGGGTAAGCTGGCCGGCCGGCACGTTCACGCGAATTCCTCCGGTGTTGGTGGCTGCGATCACGTTCGGGCCAAATTGCTGCTCGAAGGAGGGGTTTTGGGCGACCTTCCAGACCATGGCGTCAGTCAGCAGGTCGCCGAGATTGATCTCCGCGGAGCCGGGCCCAGTGACGGGGTCCTGGAGGTACGGGCGGCCGTTGAGGACCACAGTCGACGAGCCGATAATCTGCCCGCTGCGGAAAAAAGGAAGACAACAAAGAAATCTTTAGCTTACAATGATCTGCTTCTGGTAATAGAAGTCTGCGAACGTGCCTCAAACTGTTTGTGGTAGTCCTATGCTCTTTTGGGTGTTCTAGGAGCATAGGATGTGAAATATCAAGACAAACCCTCTCCGTACCGGTAAATCGGTCGGATTGTGAATAACACCATCTTAGAAGCGGACAGAGGTGGACTTGGCAAAGTGTTGGAGAAGAGAATAAGGTGAAGGTAATTACGCTTGCATGAGGTAGAGTGAAGGGTTCTTGATTGGAGGACACGAGAGGTGATGTGACTCCTCGTTGACAGACGTCTTGTCGGCTGATGTCAACGGCAATTCTCTGGAGTGCTGAAGATTCAGTTTTGGACGATATTGGCGCTAGTCTAGCAGTCTACAGGCACGTGAATCAAACGGGTCGAAAGCCACATATTTTCAGGGTGACTTGTCTTTCCAATTGGCTCGTTATTATGGGCAAGGGTCCGACGTGAAGGTGACGACAGCACACGAGGAACCTAAGAACCGATTCTAAATGTCACGTACCCTGCAGTCAAAAAAACATTCCGTTTGCCTCAGCCTCGTTCCGCATTGCCTCAAACAGGATTCCGGTCGAAACCGGGCTAGAATCTGGGGCCGGAAGGGCCCCAGTAAGATTTCAAACGAGGGTCTGAAAAGGGCAAATTGCGGACGTACTTGAGAGCGTCCACGGGTCCGGAAAGGGCCTGGACGAGGTCAGCAACGGACGGCTTCTCCGGAACGTTGCTCTCGCTGACGCTCCCGCCCAGCAGGATCGGCTGCGTCGTGGCGAAGTTCTTGAAGCGACCCACGGCGTCGAACGTGACCGTGAAGCGGCCCATGTACCTGGGGCATGAAAGATTGGGGGGGTTCAGCTGGCAGACGTTTGAAGGGGGGGGACCCTAAATCCCCAGATTATTCGCTCCCGTCTCACCTGACTGACAACATAACGCTACCGGCAACTAGATTGGAGACTTTCTCACCTGCCTGCCCAGAATGCCTGAACGTAGGGCACGGTCGTCCCGAAGTCGTTCTGCACGTTGATGGGGTAGGGGAACAGCGGCGTGTCGGTGGTGTTTCCGGCCACGCTCAGCTTGGGGGGCCTGCCCGAGTACAGGAAGGTGTGAGAGTGGCCGCCGACAATCAGGCTCAAGCCTGGGATTAAAAAACCATGAAAAATAATAAGAAAATTAAAAAGTAAGCGTCAGGGGGAGAACTGCATTCTTTTGCTCTAGTTCGGGGGAATTTGTCACAAAATGTTTTGATCAGGCTGAAGCTTAAAAGCGTTTCAGCATGAGAGGGGGGGTCGAAAAGAATCCGCATTAGGGGGGCGTTACGCACAGAAGGTGTCGGTCAGGCTCAGCTCTGGAGCACTTGTGCCCGAGTTCAAAAACGGGGTGACTCCAGCTGCCGCCAATGGCCAGGCTCAGGTGGCCTGTTAGAATTTGGTTGTAGAGTGAGGGGGAATGTTCACACAGAACGTCTAGTGGGGCCCGTGTTTAGCTTGGGAGGTGCCAAAATAACGAAGTGCTGGACGACCAGGCCCAGGCATGCAGAATAGATACCCTTCGTATTAGATTGGGTTACACAGAAGTCTACAGTGGGTTACACAGAATTGGGTTTAAACAGAGATCTACAGTGGGGTTACACAGAAGTTTGCAGTCGCGCACAGCTGAGCGGGGCTGCCCACCAAGTGGGATGGTCGAAAGGAAAAACTCGCACGTAAGTAGTCGGCAGCAAGCTGCTGAATGGATTCTGTTTTTTGAGGGCACCTTTGCAGAGCGGATTGCTGTCAGAACGAATGGAAGGAGAACGCGGACTGCAGTTCGCAGTCCGAGACCCCCACACCGCTTGGGACTCAATGCGCGCGCGAACGACACGTGCTACTTCATTGAAGTTCATGGTCTGACCCGCCGGTGCGATTTTCGCGGCCGAGTTATTGGCTGCATGATGAAAATGCAGGTCGCCAGCTTCGGGCATGCTAAACCTCGCCGGAGGTGACGTTACCAGACCGGTCTAGTCGCGCAAAGAGTACCAATCGGTGTGGGGGGTCCGGGATTGCAAACTGTGGTCCACGTTCTCCTTCCATCCGTTCTGTCACCATGCAGATCCTTATCCTTCCATCGGGGGGCATCTTACAAACTTACTCTGAGATCGACAGACCTTGACAGCGGGACACTGTTCCACACCCAAACCCCGGACACGTCAGACAAGATCAGTAGAAACTTCATCCCTACATCTGTCATGCTTACCTGGAACCGACTTAGCCACCACAAGATCGTCGTTGATCCCGCCGTGGCCGAGACCGATCACGATCTTGACCCCCTGGTTGTTCAGGCCGGCGACGCAGGCGGTGACGGAGGGGATGACGTCAGCGAAGTTGATGTCGGGGCCGGGGGATGACGTGAACTTGGTGTCGGGGGTGACCCAGCCGCAGATGCCCACCTTGGCGACCTCCTGGCCCATCTTGTTCTTCACGCTGATGATCTGGGGACGCAGAACAACCCGGATTCAGGCGCTGCTTAACTCCCCAGTTTCTGGGATGCAAAGTAACCCATCCTTTTGGATTGACACAATATAGTTCTTCACGCTGATGATCTGGGAAAGCAGAACAACCCGGATTCAGGCGCTACTTAACTCCCCACTTTCTGAGATAAAAAGTAACCCATCCTTTTGGAATGACATAATATAGTTCTTCACGCTGATAATCTGGGAAAGCAGAACAACCCGGATTCAGGCGCTATTTAACTCCCCACTTTCTGGGATAAAAAGTAACCCGTCCTTTTGGAATGACATACTATAGTTCTTCACGCTGATGATCTGGGGACGCAGAACAGCCCGGATTCAGGCGCTACTTAACTCCCCACTTTCTGGGATAAAAAGTAACCCATCATTTTGGAATGACATATTATAGTTTTTCACGCTGATGATATGGGGACGCAGAACAACCCGGGTTCAGGCGCTACTTAACTCCCCACTTTCTGGGATAAAAAGTAACCCGTCCTTTTGGAATGGCATATTTAGTTCTTCACGCTGATGATCTGGGGAAGCAGAACAACCCGGGTTCAGGCGCTGCTTAACCGTCTAAACTCAAGGAACGAAAAGTATCCCATCCTTCTGGAAAGACATGATATAGCTGGAGAATGGTGGAAGACGGTCGTACTCATACTTTCCTGACTTGGGAATTCGTATCCTAGGGCGCTAACGTATCTAGTATGCCAGACCGTTGCGGACACGAGAGCTCTCGACCTACTGACCTCGGCAGCGCTTCGTATGATCCAAAAGCAGATTTCGATAGTCTTCTGTTTTTGTGACGTGGATTCATCAAAAGCATACCTCTCTCGCCTCTTGCTATCTTTCGCTGCTGTCTCGAACGTGCTGGCCAGCAATTCCAATGAATCCTTGGATGACGTCATCAGCGTACCACTGAGTTACAACCAACTCGAGTAGATTCTAATTGGAAGTTGTCAACAACAGAGAGATCGACTATGTGCCTACCCAGTGTATGCAATCTTACATATTGTTGATTCTGGTCTACAAGAAGTAAGCGGCAGGAGGAACGACTCACGGCGGACTTGGAGAATTTGTTGAAGATGGGCGACGAGGGGTTGGGCACGGTGTTGGTTCCGACGATTGGGAAGTTGAGCTGCGAGATGTAGTCGGCCAGAACCTGGGGGCCCTTGTCAAACTCGTGGTCGCCGAACGTCTGGAGGAGACAGATAACCATAAACTTTAATCGTAATAAGGATCTTAATGTACTGAAAGTACTGGATTCCTCGCTTCATCCGACACAAGAACACTAAGGACAATATGACTTGCTCCGCACCCGAACCCACTTTAACCACCAACGTAACCCCACCGGTACCCCTGTACCTGACGTTGACATTACTATTAAGGTTTATCCCTATAGGAGACAGGCAAGTGAGGGACGCGAGGAACCGTGCAGAGAGGAGAATTTGGATAATGAGCTTACCGACAGGGGAAGAAGGGAAGAAAGGGTACGAGAGCAACGAGGTTACGAAACGCTTGTCAAACCCGTTTTCTGCTAACCCAATCTGGTCAACAGAGAGGATAAGATGAACCGAGAATCCGGATTACGGACGGAGAGGCCTCGAGAACGTTGCTCGAGGCTCTAAAGACCGCAGCCAGGTCAGGACAGCGGAGCACGGCTTTCATAACAGGGGCGTCGATAGCACGACGTCAGCGCGGCCGCCGGGCGCCTCACCATGACGTCAAAGCCGAGCAGGTTTAGGAAGGTGGACGACTCCTTGCCGGCGTAGGTCAGACTCCAGAGCGTGCCCGTGAACTCGTCTCCCGCGTTGACGACTATCACTGGCAGGTCCTTGGCGCGCTCCTGGTCGATGATGGTCGCCATCTTGGCGTACCCGCCGTAGCAGTCGCCTGCAGCAAAAGAACGATGAACGAGGTTTGTTTCAAGTTGAGATCGTTCTTCTTGGAAGATTGAAGACGCTTCAAAATTGTGAAAGGGGGCAGATTGGGACGCTGAAAGGGTCTGGCCATCTTTGCGTACCCGCCGCAGCAGTCGCCTGCAGCAAAAGATGATGACGTTTAATTAACGAGGTCGTTTCAAGTTGAGATCATTATTTTTGGAAGTTCGAAGACGCTTCGAGATTGTAAAGGGAGGCAGACTGGACCACTAAAAGGGTAGCCATCTTGGCGTACCCGCCGCACACTCGCCTGCAGCACAAGAATGATTTATCTTTGGTTGGAGGTCGTTTCAAGTTGAGTTCGTTCTTGTTGGAAGATCGAAGAGGCTTCGATCTAAATTGTGAAAGGAGGCAGATTGAAACACTGAAAGGGTGGCCATCTTGGCGTACCCACCGTAGCAATCGCCTATAGCAGAGGAGACGCGGGATACTTGCTCAAAAAGGGTCTCTCGAGAACTTGTATGTTCCAAATCCGCGTGAGGAGAGTGTAAAGTACATAGTACA